GAGGGACCGAAGCCGTCTATTTATACAAGAAGTCGGTGAGGGACTTTGCCCTAGGTCTCGTGACCGTAGCCCTTGTGTAACCTGCGATTTCCGTGTAACAGTCCAAGCCCGTTGGTAGTTTGTGGCCTCCAGTTGGCCACGGCCCCCGAGGCGGCATCTCAACCATGGCGCAATCGAGAAGCCTTTTTCGCAATGTGTTATTGGCGACAGACCGGGGATGAATCCAGGTTAGCTAATCAGCGGTCTGGATACGGTCTTTTATCATCTTGACATGGAATGATTTCAGCCGAGAATCTGCGGTCAAAGTTACCATGTGGTCTCATACACGAACGTTTCGCAGAACACACAAAGCCTAATAATTCACTAACATCGTCGGCGGGGAATAGGGGGCAAGTCCTACACGATTTGAGCTTGGATGCCTAGTTTTGCCATCATGGACATAACGGCGAGTTCGTATACAGTGCCTCCGGGTAGGCAACAAGTATGTGAGCACTGAGACGTGATTATCCTTCTTTGAGGCACGACAGCAATCATGGCTGAGGATACGGCAGAAAAGAGTGCCCCCTGGCGCTGACATCCAGAATACCCATTATAAAGATGGCACTAGACAGGGGGAATCCAAAAGACATAGATATACGAACTCCAGTACTTGAACCCGAAATTGTGGTGAAAGGGGGGCGAGTATTCCTGCAGTAGCGGCAAAAAAAGTCAAATGTACGAATTTAGGACATTGCGACAGCAACATTTGAAATGGAGGGATCTGGCCAGTTCATTAGAACTACATTTGAAAGGCTCACCAAATTCTACCAACTTGAACCCACGTATCTACATCCACCAATATGTGCGTGTATCAACTTCGTCGTCGAGGAAACCCAGGACTAAGTTGATGCTTTGTACTGTCTGTATTCGGAAACAAAACGATTGTATGGCTGAAAACAGTAATGTGAAGATGGTGGGGTGCCTCCTTAAGCAATTTGGAAATGGTCAGGACTTTAAGATTTCCCTCTATCCATGACCTGGGCTTATTACGAAGTATCTACATTACCATTTGTAGAAGATCTTTAATGGAAATGCACAAGCTCAGGTATCACCCGTCTCCGGCGTACAATGCTTTAAGGCTCCTAGTATTGGTCCAGCTTGTTATTTAATTACTCCCGCATTCACCGATTCTAGAGGAAGCCAAGTGGTTGCAGTATTTTCGTTTCAAACAGTATTCAGGAACGAAGAGGCGAAACACGATTACCTACATGGCTCGAATGGTATTATCGGACTCAGCCCACTAGCATATGGCAGAGCGTGGACACGAAAATTCTATAGATAGCTACATTCCCCCTAGTAAGCTTGATAGTGTGAGAATCCCACACTGTGGGACGCATGGGACTGGGACTAGCTGAGCTTATGCGTCACACTTATCTTAGTAGATTATGAAACTCAAATTATTACGTTTGGTGGCCTTCTATTTCGTGCTCTATCGCTACTGCTGATAATCTTACAACTAGGAATACGCCAACCACCCGTGCCAGGCATCTGTGAGTCGCTCGGCGTGCGAGGCAGTAAGATACGCGGACTTGGCGAGCCTATCTTGGACCTGGCCGAACTTTCGTGCGGGAGCCTTCTTCTCAAATAAGATATCCAGTTCAAGATATGACAACCCCTTGGTTTCTGGTAATCGAAAGTAGCACCACACAAGGCAACAAAAGGCCGTTCCGACGTATACAAAGCATGACTTGCCTGCTATGTTCCAAGCCGTGGGATTGAGCATTTTCGGCACCAGAGAAGTATTGACAATCATGGCGATATTGTATGCCACCCTAGCCAAAGCAACAGTCTTGACCCGCAGGCGCGTCGATGGAATCTCAGCCACAACGACGTAGCACACAGGACCGAGGGTCAGATCGTAGGTGAAGGTCATGAGGATGATCAAAGCGCCCAAAGCCCAATCCGCCCCGTTGCTACCTGCCGACACCACTGACACTATTCCACCAGCAGTCAAGAAGGCAACCGCCGACGCCAGGCCGAACATGTACAGTTTGCGACGACCAATCTTGAAGAGGAGTCCCCATGAAATTATGCCCGCAATCAGAGCCATGCCATACATCCCCGTAGAGAGGCTGAAAGAGTTGGAAGGATCGAAGCCAGCCTGTTCAAAGAAGTATGCTGCGACGGCAGTCAAGACGCTGCCAGAGAGCGCCTGGCACATCCACACGACGCACGATATCTCTGTTCGACGGCGATTGACACCTTTAAACAAGTCTGAATACGTTGCTCCGCCGTAGTTTAACTCCTTCTCAACCCTGTTGATATGCTCCATCAGGGCTATGCTATCGTCAATGTGGGAGCCGGACCGGTTACAAAGTCGGCCAAGAGATCGCCGGGCGTCGGCGGCTCTCTCATGGCGAATAAACCACCCTGCAACGACACTCGTCAATGACAATCCACACACGCACACGATCGAAACCAGGAAAAAGTCACCGTGTAGCGGAGTGCTTACAAGGACTCTCGGGCGCAAAGTAAACGCCAATCAAAAGGGGAACCGCCCAGGCCCATTGCAAGGCAAACGGGAGCCGATAAGACCATTGCGAATCGCTATGCACCAGAGCCCGGAGGACACCAGTCCCCAGGAGCTGCCCGACAACCCAGCACATGTTGATGTTGCTCAAGACGTAGGGCCGCAAGCCCGAGGGCACAACCTCGGCCGCGTACGTGGCGGCGAGCGTCTGAATGACGCCCCAGGGTATTCCTACAACGCCATGTTAAATGGCCGTGAAGATGATGGCGAGAGCTGGGGAGAAAGCACAGTGCTGCTCTTACCACACAAGGCTTGTGAAACCAGCAAAGTGGTGATGTTGCTCGCGAAAAACGCGGGGAACACAGAGAGGCACAGCCAAACGAGGCTGCCCATCATGACTTTTCGGTATCCGATATTATACGTAATGTAGCCGTGGGTCAGCAGCCCGATGATCTCGCAGGTGAACGCGGCGTTGTGCAGGGCAATCTGCCACGGCGCCGGGATCTGGTATGCTCCCGATCCGTCGCCCACCGACGTCCCCGGCGTCGTCGACTCCGGCTGCCCGTACTTGCGTTGGAAGGCTGGGAACGCGAGGAAGCCCGACACGAGCGACTTGTCGTACGCCTCCATGACTACCGTGAGAAACAAGAGGAGCGTCCAGCCCACGGCCTTGGGGTATTGGCGGCAACACGCCAGAAACACCATTTCCTTGTCAGAGTTGAAGCCGCGCCGAATCTTGCGCGGGGTGTCATCGTAGCCTAGGGATAGTTGCGGAAACCAGAATGTGTCCATGGTGCGGCTGGAAACGGTGGTCGACAGGCGGATATCGTCTGTCGGTGCTTGGGCGCTGGGCGATGCCCGCGAGGGCACTCGATGCCATTCGCGGCCATGGTCCTCGTTGCTTGTTTTATCGGGAGTCGATGCTGTCTCTTGATGAGAAGTTGACGGGCTCTTCTGGCTCAGGTGGTCCGCGTCCTGGCCCTTTGCCCCCAGTGGTGACATGGGAACCTCGACGAGGCCAATACACTGGGAAGCTAAGTGGTATGCTTCGGCTGATGAGTTAGAGAGCCATAGTCACTGCGTAATTCAACAGAAGAACGTCCGGTAGACTCGTAGATCTGGGCATGGATTCACCAGCTGAGAAAGAGATGCACGTGGCATGTTTATGAGCCCGCCGTACCATCCCGATTCCGTGCGGCTCCCATCTTGTCGCAACTTGGAATCTAGATTTCTAAATACATGTATGGCACGGAGCCGTTCCTTCTGCTCCACCTACAACAATTTGATGGCTATATGTTTTTATAGTACCGTCAGGTCTCCTCATAAGTAGCTGCTCAACAAATGAAAACCTGGGGAAAATGTGGGATCGAGCCATCCACAAACGCCATGCGTCACGCCAAATCAATGACTGGGCTGGCTTGCAGTTGCGTGGAGGGACAGCTCTGCCGCATTAGGTGAAGCTGTGTTCATCGGCTGTGGTAAGCATATGTGTTTGTCTTTGCCTTGGTATCGATACCCGTACTATCAGAAGATGGGTAACTTCTGCCGCCTTTTTTGAAGGTTTTTATTTTTATTTTTATTGGCCCTTTTCCCACTCAACAGCTCGAATCTTGTGGGATGTTGTGCAATGGGCTTGAACCGACGGTTGGTCGGACTCGGTCCTATGTGTCCGCCACCAGTGCGGATGCTGAGGAATAACTCCTCCGTACGCCGAGGCTCGTGCGTAATGAGGCGTTTTGAACCAGATTCTCGGAGAAACGCCATGTTTTCTGGGGGACTCACTCTCGCGCCATGGAGAGGCCGTAGCCGTGGCTTGGATGGCGCAAGTCAACACGAGACATTGGACACCACCGGATCCTCAGACTGCCAAGGAACTACATATGTAGAACAGGGTACAGTGGTCGGTGGAAGCGATACCCAGGAATGACATAAGTTATCGATCTAAAAAGATACTTCCCTTTAGTACTTGCCGAGGTACCTAGAAGGTACTCTGTGCTCCTTGACCACAGGGTCTCGCATTCTTCCGCTAGGCCGAGTGGCACGTATTGGTTCAAGCAAGATATAAGCTTACTATTTACAGACACGTGCCGAGAGAGATGGAGACGTTTGACATTCAACATTTTATAAACATTGTATCCTGTCTGTATAACTAGGGAGGAACCACACTAGAAAAGATACAAGGTGCTACAAGTCAAATGAAGAGAGACAAATACAACAGCCACGAGGCTAGAAGTTAAGATTTTGTTATTCTAGAAACGCTTTGAAAAGCTAGTGATATAATTATATGACACGTGATAAGTCCCGTCACGAGGCAAGTGACTAGCCTCCAAGGCCATGTTACTACATATGTAGTTACATATGTAGGCTGTTAGCTACGCTGTAGCAATTAACTACCTACCTATAGGTATCTAGGTAGGTAGCTAACTGGTATAGCCGTGTGGTCAAAATTTTCCACACACTATCTACAAGTAGCTTTTACACGTGGCCTAGTCTACTGAGACCAAGTCACGACAGGCTGGGCAGATGCTCCAGAACATTGCATTACAAAATGCTCACGTTCCAAATTGTCCTACTGAATATTAGTAACTTGTTAAAGCCCCGCGGATTGGGAATACTTTAATTACCTCAAACTTCTCCGAAATCTCCTTACACTTGGAAGAGTGTTCCGGGGAACTGTTATACTGATCATACTATAACATGTATTAGTAAACTTCCCGTCTGTCGGTATTAAGCGGAGTTGCTTACACTTTCGCAGCCCTAGTAAATTTTAAAATCAGCTTAAATCCCGCAATAAAATAGCGCTGGAATCTACTTACTGCTTTCTGCGCAAACATGAGTTTGCAGTACTGGCCGTCAAATCCCAGCCCACAAACAAAACCTTTAAGCAGAGAGCAGTTGTATTTCTCAAGGACAACCCCTTTGTACGGGCGCATCTCGACATTGCCATATCCAAATTGGCCCCAGAAAGCGTCGGCATCATCAGTCTATTCATTCAGTGTCACTAATTGATATTTTATACCTTCTTCCCAGCTATACACATACCTTGTGAGGCAGAGGCTTTCCCGCCCGAATCCTGTTTTCTTGAATGGCCAGAGGAGTGCGGCAATTCTCGGGCTGAGAAGTGCACTCACGTGCCTTGAAAGGTTGTTAGGTAATTTCGTAGAAAATATATGGATTTGGCATCTTTGCACTTACTGCCAGGCAACCCTTATTACTTCTATTAGTACTTCTTCCTAAAACGGGTTGTTTTTCATATCGCTTACCTGTAGTTTCCAAGGGACAGTGGAAGGCAGACTCGGACTCAACGGTCCCGCGTTAATCAAATCGTCGCATGAGCTCTTCAAGCTCAAGTCTTGCTGGCCAAGAGCCAGGCTGGCAGAAACAACGGCAGCAGTAATGAAACGCATTGTCAATAATTTAATCTTGCAGAAAGATGAGACGTTGAAAGTATCTGTGTAATAGGCTTTTCTTGTGTAATGAAAAAGGTAAGACGGACATGAACTCTTGTACGTTGAATGGTATATAAATATTTCTGAAAAATGTGAGATGCCGCAGTATTACTCAGCCGGTCTTGCGCCAAGACACGTTGATATCATATTATATATTGTCAATAATTAATAAGTAGTAGATGCATCTCCGAGTGCCAGTTTTGATAACGCCTACATGAGCCCGTTCGCAAAAGTAATTCGTATAGTACAGCACATGTATGCAAGGGCAGGGTCTATTACGAGAAAAAATGGAAATCGACATATACAGACTATCCATCTCGTACGATGTTGCATGATTGAGGGACCAGCTGGGTTGCAATGAGGCATAAACCCCGATATGGAGCCGAACAGGCGACCGGTTATCGGTGCCTCGATTGCCGCTCTGCAAAGAGAGATATATACAAGCATCCAATATTCAACACAAGCCCAAACGAACCCGAGATTATGGGTCCTGCCTCTGGTGTGTAAAAATACGCCTCCTGTGGTCCATGCGCTGTTGTTTTTAATCCCTCCAGAAAACTCGGCAAGTCGATACGTATTCCTGACAGAAATCATGGCGAGTGAAAAATACAAAACCAGAAGCAACGGTCCCCAGCTTGCCTTGAAGAGGGCACACCTGCGTTTGTCTCTTTCCAGCTGCCTTCCAGTTTCAACAACAGGACCTGAAATATCATGCAGAGGACCACGAACGCAACAATGACGAGTTCCTGAACGCCAATCCCAAGCATGTATGTGTGTAGTGCCCTTTGTTTGACATGCGGTGCAGCCATGGAAGCGGCCATGCTTCCGCCAACCAGCTGAACTGCAACGAGGCCATGTCGAAGAAGACGAAGAGGACGGCAATATTGGAGGCGGGCATGCCGAGTATCGAACGAGACGTGTGGAAGTAGTATACCATTCTCCCCATGGCCATATACACGAATGCATTGACCCCTACTCTTCCTGTCAGCGCAAGCTGGTCGTCACTTTTCTGTTTCGGGGCCAAACTTACAAGTAGGGGCCAGCAGGACGAAGATCATGAAACCGAGATACAGACTACTACTCTGCCGGCTCCTCGAGCTTAACGTACGGAATACTATGGCCGTCATCTCCCAGGTAGTGGCCATGATAATGACCCAGCACCACGTCTGCAAAAAAGTCAGCTGTCGGGTCTGCATTTTCTCAAAGTGCCCGTCGGAATCACTTACAAACCTTTTTAAACACGGCCGCCTGCAGAACATGCACCGCGACTAGGAACCCGAACAAGCAGGCCACGGCGAGTGCCGCCCAAAAGATAGGGTAATAGCTCCATATGGCACCACATTCGCCAGGGGCAATTTGTCCCTTCGCGTCGGGCACAGCTGTCTGCACGCACGGCGGAACAGCTACCATGGGAGTAGCTTGGCTCGGGATGGTGAGGACAGAATTTCTGACACTATAAAGCGTCACGGACTCTGTTTTCGTCAATGGGCCGGAAGTCGGTGACGGTGTTGGTGCTGTTTCCCGGGTGGCTATATCAAAGGCAGTTGTAGTGAAAGGAACGGCCAGCGCGGGCACAGCGGCGATGAAATTGGCAAATAAGAAGAACATTGTTCGGTGTCTTTTCCATAAGAAAGAAGGAAAGGAAGAAGGTTCAACAATACGGAGCCAGCGGCGGTAGAGCTTGTTGGATCCTTGGATCCTCTGGGCGAGATTCCCCAGGAAATCATCTTATATGCCTCCTTATTCCAAACTTGGCAACTTCGATTCGCCCCCTGTCCTCGGACTCTTCCCACTCACGCTGTCGCACTTCTCTCCTGACTTCTGGGCCATCGCGCGGCCAAATCTGCAGGAACACGTCAAGTCCGAGCCGGCCAACCACATTGAGGGAATGGACCCTTAGCACTGCGGTTACGGTTGCAAGTTGGACCGTTCATATGGTATTCGGTGTGCAAGGGCGCCATGTGCTATTTACAGGTACAAAAACGCGGCCTAATGTAAACGGCTACCGTTAATGTGTAAGTGCTCTGTGGCTGACGCCAAATGCAGAAGGTTGCCATGACATGTGTCCAGTTTTTGTTTTCATTTTCGTCAAGTTGGCTTGACCTCGGTTCCAGGACACATTATGTCTTGGCGACGTGGTGTTTCTGGGTTCAAGCATAGTCATTTCGGCCATTTTGACAACCGGCCCCAGACACGACGACAAAATACACCAGTCCGTTACGGAATATATTTACCTGGTAAGAAGATATAGAACAATATACTGTACTAGAATAGATTATAGAGCATGATAGCCTGGTGCCTAATGAATCCAAATACTTTTTGCCGCTCGCCGCGATGCTCTTCCGTGTTTCCACCATCCAGATCAACCAAGACAATCAGCTCCCGGGCGTTTTTCCCACGGCCCAGATGAAAGTGAAAGCAAACAGCTACAATTACAAGAGTGCTACAGTATCAAACCCAATCGTACATCCTCTCGATGCCCTCGCGGCCAAGCACCAAGAAACAAACCCTCCTCTTGGCCGCGTCCCCCTCGCCATCGCCATCCTCCACGGCGGAATCCCTCACGCGCGCCTCATCCGGCGGCACGTCCTGATCCATCCCCACGCCGCCGGCGTCGACCTGCTCCGGCGTCAACTCACCGATGCCATGCTCAATCTCGACGATCCTCTTGCCCGTGGCATACAAGGTCGACGCGTCCCACAGCGTCTCCCGCACGCACGACAGCCTCCCCAGCAGCGACAGCGCCCTGAGCCGCAGCCCCAGGAAGCGACACTTGGCCACGGCAAAGTACAGCAGCGGGCCGAAGCCCATGACGAACATGAACTTGCCGCGGCGCGTCGGCGTGCCCGCCAGCGCCTCCGCCCGCGCCGCCACGTCCACGATGCGCGCGAACCCGTCCCCGTGGTCGTCGTACACGGTCTCGTCGAGCGCCAGGCACGTACTCGCCCAGATCCTGCACACCAGCCACCTCATCTCCAGCACGAGGAGCGTCGCCGGAGCGTGGTGCTCCGACACCAGGTGGTCCCCGCCGCGTCGCAGCTCCTCCAGCGCCGACCACCAGGCGTCGAGGTCTCCCTCCAGCGAGCGCTTCTCGTGAACCACCGCCTCCGGGGGCTGCTCGCGCGCGCCCATACCCAGGCGGTGGTCGTCGGTCGCCCGGACGAGGCGCACCGCCCGCGCGAGCAGGCAGTCCAGCGACTCGAGCGCGGCGTCGAGGGTGTCGACGCCCACGGCGGCGGGCTGCGCGTCCAGCAGCGCCGGAAACGTCGAGACGTCGCCGCCAAAGAAGTAGGGGAAGATGGCGAGGTGGCGAAACACCCTCACCAGCTCGGGCCGTATGTCGGCGGCCGAGTTGAGCAGCGAGATGCCGTGCTGCGAGTGGCTGATGGCGCTCTCCGTGTCGCCGCGCAGAAACTCGATGCACGTGAAGAGGATGCAGACGAGCAGCACCGTGTTAATGTCCGCGGGGCACGACGTCTGCGGCCCGATGAGGTGCGAGATGGCGGCGTTGTAGTGCTGGATGGCAAAGTCGTCGGCGCCCGGCCGGCCCCCTTGGCGCGTCTCCTCGGCGCCGCCGTCGCCAAAGTTCTCGTACAGCCAGCTTATGGCCAGGACGGCGTGCCTCGTCGCGGGCTCGGCGTGCACCATCTGCGCAACCAGCTTGGTCCAGAACGAGCTGTCCAGCGGGCCGCACAGCGCGGGGGCCACGATTTGCTGGTAGAAGGCCAGGCCGCGCAGCTCGAGGTCGTCCGCCTCGGGGCACGGGCTGGGCGATGCCGGCACCGGCGCCGAGAGAAGCCGGTCCCAGGACATGCAGCCCGGCGGCGGCGGCATGTAGCCGTCGCACGTCCGGCCCGTCGACGTGCACCGGTTGCAGGCCGGCCGTGTTTCGTCGCACTTTACCTTGCGTTTTCTACTGCTACGTTAGCTGCTGTCGCCGCGGGGGGGCATCGTGTGGTGTGTACATACTTGCACGTCAGACAGCCGGTGCGGACCTTGGGAATTCCTTTTCGCGCCATGCTCGCTGGCCCTCGACGACAAAAGGGCAAATGGGACCAAAAAAACAAAAGCGACGCTTATAAACGAACTGACTGGAGACAAAGCAGGGCTACTGTATGCTGATGCTGACGCTGATGCTGACGCCGACGCTGATGCTAATGCTAATACAATCGGTTCAACACAAAGGAAACCTGCCGTCTCGTACACAAATACATGGTCGCTGCGATGCAGGCAAGAGTCGTGCCAGCGCAGCATCGCGGACGCCCGTGCCATCTTATGCCTTGGGTCGTTGCATCAACCAAACCACGATCCTGATATTCCCAAACTGCTGTCTCCGGAAGGGAAATACCAAAATAGGCTCCATGTCGTGATGACGACAACACCACCACCAAGGGGGCCGTCGTTACGTGGACGTGCTACCGTCGTGTTGGACTTTTATACGTCAAGTGGGGCTGAGCCTGCGGCAAGCTCATTCAAGTCTGGTTGCAACATGCAACGGTCCAGTCTGGTCATCGGGACTCAATTGACTGGTTCCAGACAATCCAACCAGACCAGACTCTCAAGGTCAGCGGCCAATGTTGTCCAGGTCTGAGTAAGGCCTCAGCAACCCTCACGCTCGCGCGCATCCTCCGCTGCTGGCTAGTGCCGCCAGACCGTGGCTCAGTCCCATCTTCTTCGCAACCCATCATCTCCACCCTCATTCCACATTCGGCCAGCTTGCGTACTCATCGTCGCGTCCTCGGCAGCATCCGCAAATCTGACGAGGCGAAGCCCAGCCCTGAAACTGCGTTGCGTTCCTGACTAGTCCCTTTTCTCCCTCTTCACCACATGTGCAGTCCATTAGTCCCGCCTCATAGGGCTGCCCTTATGCCTACATGTCAAGTATGTGTGATGCTCGTAATGCCTGTCAACGAATAATGCACTCACCATGACGTCGCTCCATACATCATGAGAGCCCGCCTAATCTCCGTTCATGTTCCCACCATGCGCACTCCACGCCCTACCCGCCGTAATGCCAACTCTATCGCTTGCTTAATCTCCACCCAACTTGTCCCACGCATTAGGGACGAGTTGCTGAGTCGTCTGAAACCGTCCTGGACCCCTTGCACAAGCATCCATGCACCTACATAGTACCGAATTACCGGATTGCCGTTTAAACTACGTAGTACAGTCTTCGTCCTCTTCTCATCCTCCCCTCTTCGCCTCTCGGAGCATCATCCATTGAACAAACAACAGTCACAAAATAGAATTCGCCTAGTCGCTAACGGGCTGTAGCTGGTAATGTACAAATGTGAATGCTCCGTATAGGTGTTTCCCTGCTGGGGCTTTTCGATAATGACCATGGTACAATCGCCTAGTTCGGCCTTCCTTTTCCAATAACCTCGCGCAGTACCCGCAACTTTTCCTCCGTCACACGAATGGCTTCTTGGATCTCGCGTTCATCCATCCGCTCCTCTCGCAACTTATCCTCCACTGTCCGGTGCTCCATCCCTCGTTTTCGCGCGCTGGGCTGATCCGAGCTTAGCCGCTCCATACCCACGCGCTCCTCCAGCCATTCCCATAGCTCAGAATCCTGCCGCCGCCACATCTCCTCATAGGCCGCTTGTCGATTGGGACTGTAAAATCCAACATCTGGGCCAAACGGCGCGTTGTTCTTCGGCGGAGACCCAAAACCAAACCACATGGCAACGAGCAGGCCCACGAGCAGGCCATACATGACGTTCCCCGTAAGTATGGGCTGCAGCACATCAACACATGGCTCCAGTATACTTCGGACAGGTTCCAACGGTCCCCAATTTTGTTTCCCGCCGTCCGACTTGCCACCCTTGCTGGCTTCCAGGTCGACAACCGTCTGTAATGCCTTGCTTCTCTTCAGCTTCTTTTTGCCCTTGACAATTCCGTTCGTCGCCGTGCCGGATCGAGCCCTGGACGAAACTGCCGACTTGAGCGACGCAAATAGCTCCTTGCAGTATTGCCCTTGTCCATCATTGACATTCTTCTCAATGGTTCCTAGCGCACATTAGCAACTCAAATTCGCCACGATACAAAAATCATTCATACCCTTTAGCCAGCACTTGCCCGACCAATCGACTGTGCAGTTGATTTGAATGCGTGTAGCATTGTTCTCAGCCCATGACAAGCAGTACTTCGTCTTGACGGTAAACAAGTTGCCGTAGGGCACATCTGGATTTTGAGTAGAGACGCTGAGGTTTACAGCCTTCTCCAAGTCCATCTGGTCAATGGTTTCTGTTACAACACATTTCGTTTGCTTCGGGCCGATCGAGCCGTTGAGTGGTTTGATGTACGTAAAGGTGCGGCTCTTGTTATCGGCCGTGAGGCCCTTCTTATCCTCCATCTGGATGTCGGTGCACTTTTGCTCTGTCGACAACCACTTATTCATCCACGTGACAGATCCAGGGCCAAAGACGAGGTTGTACACCTTCCCAAGAGGAGCGGGAATAATCTCATCGCCGAGGACCTTTTCGTAATGGGCTGTCGAGTCGCCGCAGTCTGTTGGCGCATGAGCGGAGGGGCCAGGAAAATCGGGTGCGCCGCCTGGCGGTGGAGAGGCATCTTTGGACGGTTCAGATGCCACGCCATTTACAGCAGTCATTCCAGACACCTTTCGCGTTGCCGGCCTCTCTGGATCCGGTTCAACAGCTGTCATATCTGTCGACTGGGTTTCAAGCACCTCATCGTGTTCTTCCTCATCATAGAACTCCTCGTCGTCGCCTTCATCATCATCTGTATCGTCTTCGGATCCGGACGCCTCTTGTGGCTCCTCTTCCATCACCCCTTGCTGTTCCTCCACCTTTTCCGTCTTGTCCCCACCGGTCCCTTCTAGCTGAACACCGTTCAATGTGCTTCGTAGAGTTGGGTGGCCCAATTTCCAAATATTTACGATAAGATCATATGTGGCATCTCTGCTCGTAAAACTGGCAAAAATATGTTTGGCGTGAAGTGTTGATATCATCAGGCCATTTTTGAATACAAGAGCGGTGCTTCGCTTCTCCACAGATACGATTTCGTCAAAGCTCATGACCAACGTTGTTGTCCAGCCGAGAATATTACTGCTGAAGCAAAGGTGACCCTCAGACACATATAATCGGCCATGGGCTAGGATCTCTCGTTGAAGAGCGCAGCTATAATCTTCAATTAGATAGTCATCATCGGGTACACTCTTGAAGAGATTATGAAAATCGCGGTTTCGCTTCTTGCTGGCAATCGCGAATCCGGTCAACTTGGGTGCCCCTATACCGCCGCTGGTGGGAAGAGCAGCATTCGTGGCAGATGTAATAGCCGCAGCTATGGTTCCTCCGGTTGTTGCTGAGCTTCCCCTCTTCCTGTGAGGTTTCATTGCACTCCTGAGGCTGGACGACCGTTGAACTGGCCCTTTGAGGTCTGAAAGGTCCGTCTGCGGGGGGGTCTGATCCCCGCTGGCAGGTTCGGCCAAGGAGCGTGGCCGGCTCGATGATTCTGCTGGAAGTACGTCCGTGGCTGAGGTTTGAGGCTCAGTTGGAGCAGATTCTGATCTCGTTCTGGTGTCGGCAACATCAGCAAATCTGGCGCTCGCGGGAGAGGTAATTGAAGATTCAGGAAGACCGAGTTGGCTAAGGCTGAGGTCCCCAGACCCCAGTGTTCGAACTGCAGACTCTTTCCGATCCATTGTGTCTTCGATACGCGGCTCTGGTTCAGGTGCAGGTTGCGAGTTCAAGGTTGTTTGGCTAGCGGCAGGGGAATTCAAAGACTTTGGTGTGCCGTTCCGGGTTTTATTGCTTCCAATGCCGAGTCCCGTGCTGGGTATCGTATTGCTAATTGAGGTAGCTGCGTTTTGAGCGGCAGATATCATGGACGAAAAGAACCCAGTGGCACTTGGGGTGGTCTCTCCGCCAGTCTCGTCAGTAGGTGTCAATGGCGCCGCTGTAATATGAGAGAGCTTGCTAGGACCGATTGCTGCAGAACCAGATTTGCTTCTCCTATGGATGTTCATATTTGACGCAGCAGCACTTCCATCAGCTCTCAGTTTAGGGTCGGCCCCATTCGTTGACGGCCTGCCGTCCGGAGACGTTGCGAATTGTGAATGATCAGCTCGGTCTGTTGGAGTCGGAGGGGTGTTGACAATAACGGGAGCAGGTTTATCGTCTTGAGGTGGCGTACGGGGAGGGTTGGTTTCAATTCGGGGTGTCGATGCCCTGCCCTTTCGGTCGGCGGAAGCTATTTTGGCTGGCGCAGGAGGTTCCGGGATCGAGTTCTGAAAGCCGGGAACGCCCTTTGCTTTAGATGGCTTTTCTGGCGACAAGGACTTATCGCTACTGCCGCTGGAATAGCCGCGGGCTTGAGAGGAGGATAGGAAGTGAGACCGCGAGTCAAGGTGTTGTGTCTGGACCACGGGGGATGACGTTGTCAAGTAGCCGATCAGGGACGGGTGGGCAGATATTGTGGCGGGTCGAGCTGGAGCAGAGCTGGATGCGGGTCTTCCACTGTTCAGCTTGTTAGGCAGACGTTTTGTTTATTGGTAGCACAACAGTTTCGCATGCGGAAAATGCTCGTATGGAGGGTTGGAGCTGGCAGAAAGGGCGTGCTAAAAGCACAGTAGGACGACAGAATCTTAAGAGAAACGTGAGGCTTTAGATGGCTGTAGAGACAGGTTCAGACGAGCACTATGGCTGCTATTGTCATATGCACAGTGTGCGGTGGGGGGTCGAGTGGAGGAAACTGGCGCGACCACCCATCCAAGCTTTTGTTTCAGAGCTTAAAACAGAAAGACTGTCGTACTGTATTCGGGGCAAGGGGAAGGATAGAATAGAACAAAGATATCAAGGATAGATGGAAATGATGTAACATACCGGTCGGCAGTCTCCGGATCTGCGCCAGACTCAAAGGACCCAAAGCTGCGGTCGTCCATCTCGTCGTCGTCGTCAGCAATGTTGGTTGAGTTGGCATCGTCACTCTCGAGGGTCAGCTCGCGCTTGAAACGCCGCTGGCTGCTGTGTGCGCTCGTGCTGCGTGTGTCATCATCTGCGCCCGATGCCTCCGAGTCCCGTCCATTCTTGTCCTTTCTGCGCCTCCTCTTCGCTGATAGACCCTTTGGCAGCAGTTTGCCGACCCGAAGACCGCCGCTGCTGGCAGTAGTGCCATCCATAGCCTTGTCCCCCTGGAGAGGTCGATCCTGTAAAGCAGAGAGAAGAAAGGTAGTCGCAAATCGATATATTAGATTTTTTGCCGGCAAAACAGCATGCGAGCGAAGCGATGTGCAAGAGCGTTGGACCTTGGTTCGCTGAAGCTGTCCTCAATATCGTTCTTGGCCCGAGGACAATCCTCCCAGTTGTCCGTGTGCGGATGCTGACAGCCGTCTTCACTTGGAAGCAGGCAGTGCTACTGGTAGACTCCGCCGTGGCTGACGGTGGCAAGCGGGAGCTTCGAAAATAGAGTGTAACCTATGATAGCACTGAGTGTGAGATGAGAATGCGGTAAGATGGGCAAAAAGTGATTGATTTGAAAAGGAACAGTACTCCGTCATCCGAATTAAATGCAAAACGACGACGACGGTGGTCGAGGTTCGTATCGCCCCTTGTCTTGCAACCTTGTAGCCTTGCCGCAATAGTGGCAGGCGGGTCGACAGCCAAGCTTGTCGCTCTTGCCTCTCAGAGTCTCGATGAATCGTGGTCTGGCCCAATATTGACTGGCCCCTTGCTAGCTCCTTCCGGTATTGGTTTGTGTGAGCTCGTCACTGTCATTCTTGACTTTAAGTCTTAACCAATCACACAACGATTCCCGTACTTCAAACCCACAAAACGTTATGCAAGCTGCCATCCATCGTTGGTGCACAAATCTAGAAATGACGTTCATGATTCAAATGACAAGTGACAACTCTCAAGAGCGATTTGATGTCGAGGTTGTTGGACGCAAACTCATTTGCAATGTTAATTGGTCTATGGGCAGCAGTAATCTCTCAAGCCGGCTTATTTTGTTGGGGTCTTGTTCTCACCAGTATGTCCTCGATGCGCCTTGACGTGAACACTCACGGTACTCGAATCTCGTGCGACAAGATCCGACGCTGAAGGACGTCATCGCGTCTTAATCCATTGGTGGCAGTCTATAATGAAACACATAGAAGCGATGTTACAATGAGGAACACGCAGGTGGGCGTCACACCATATTAGTTTGAGCTTATTCTTGTCTGACATAAAGGGTCGATGTGCTTTGCGCCGTCGGACACTAGCCTACTTTAGTACCTAGGTAGCTACGCACGAAATCAAGGCAGCGCCTAGGTTTTAATTTTTTTGGAACACATCTTTGATCTCCACATAATTGAAGAATCTGGAAGACGTGCAGTGAGGGGAGAAAAGGGCCAACATTGAAATTTAATTGAGGCTTAGGGTAGCTTATCCAAATGTGAAGACAAAATGTAAGGTGCCAAGGGTGCCACGCCAAGCCGAGCAGGCCACCTACTCTGGAGTCTCGATATTCCCTAAATTCGGGACTAAATCACCACTTAGGTATTGACCCTTTTATAAGCGATAAGCTGTAGTCGCTTTATCTAGCTTTATTGGCTCCACTTTTTCATAACTACCTGGCTTTCTTAAGCCTTACTGGACTTCTCGTTGCATGAAAACACACCAACATATTATATGGAGCTACCCTACAGGCAATAAGGACCTTGATTCATTTTTTATGACATTTGTCTTACATTGCTCTTAAGTAAGGCATTCCTTTTAAAGAGGAAAATAAAGGGTTGACATAGGTACATTGAGCGCTTGGTAGATCCTACTGATCAATACTACAGTAGCTTGCAGGGCCAAGCACTACATCAGGGGTGGACTCATGATTAGCTACCAAAGTAATTTTAAATTGGTATACTCATGAGTACTTTATAGTGATACTATTAAGTTCTTCTGTATCATTCCAACATAGTTTGAAGCCGGCGTCGCAGCTCCTCTGGATTTGATCTTCCATATTGGTCTGGGTAATTCTCAAATATCGCTTTCTTCATTGTTTTTCTTGGTGCCCGTTTCCCAGTGAAGAGTTCAAACTGGGCAAACCCTTGATCTGGCAGCAGATCTAACCCGTCCATAGCGATCCACCGTCGACTTGCATGCTCCATTGCTTGTTGCAACAGTGGCGTGTTTAACGTTTTGTATCCAAGCTCAACAATGACCCCTCCAGTCTGGTTTTCTAACCATGACTCAGGTAATCTGAGCTCGGGAGAGGGAACGTCACCTATTGGATGGGTAGGGATACATGAAATGATAATTGATGGTAAGCGGAATGCCGACCGCCAATCGTGATGGAGCGCGGGAAAGACTTCAAATTTTGTCTTCACTCCGGCGCCCAGCCCTTCAAACTCGCTCTTCTGCAACAATTGCGTAAAATGGTCCGCCAATTTCTTCCCGTTCTCCACGGTTCGGTTGTAGATGGCAATATTGCTCACACCGACCTGTAGAAGCGCATAAACTGCAGCTCTGGCCATGCCTCCAGCACCAATAACTAAACCACAAGTGGCGGGTCGCACAGCATTTGCTGGAGACAAACCTCGACGAATGCATGAGCGAATACCGATCCAATCTGTATTCTCCCCGTAGAGTGCCAGAACAGGACCTGCCCGGTTGACTCCACGAAAAAACGAGGCAGCGCCAGTCGGAACTGTGCCATCGTCGTTGAGATGGCGTATTGGGATCAAAGTATTGATGGCACCAATTGCCTGAGCGTGAGGACTTAGAGAGTCTGTCAAGGTGATAAATTCAACCTTGAAGGGCAATCCTATGGACGCCCCCGCAAAATTGGGATCTTGGATCAGATGTCGCACTTGCTGCAAGGAGTTTGTAGAGTACGGCTCGTACCGATGCGGGACGCCGCAAACTTCCAACGCAGAGTTATGCATTGCCGGCGACATACTGTAGCCAACGTTGGCCCCAAACACATACAATTTCATGGGATCGAACAAGAAGCTTGCATAAAGCGCTCTGGTGGCAGAGTCTGCCAAAAGGCCTGTTTGTCGCTGTTTCTCATTGTTCTGGGATTCAAGCCTTGGCGAAACCGAAGTGAGAATGGGATTGAGAAAGGCAGAATGTTTGCCTAAGTTTCCAGAATTGTATGCTATGATAGGAGCATGTGAGTCTGGAAGTGATTCAACAGTCGACCGAAATCGAGCGACTTCAAAGTTGTCGGTGACAGCTTCCGCAGGACGGACGAAGCGGACCAGGTCACAGTCCAACCGAACGGCTCGCTGGTAATGTGAGATCCATTGTGGTGATGTCCAGGAATCGAAGTTTGCTATTGGGGCGTAGTGGCCTATCAACTTGCAGCTCCTTTTTAGAGATGCTAGCTTGGCAATGGCATTGTCGTCTAGCCGCAAGTCCACTGTCATCATTTCTGGGGCCAGAGTCAAGACGTGGGAAAGTAAATCTAGATAGAAGTAGGTGCTTGTCGTCGCCGCGGATGGGTTGGGGAATCCAATGTGAACAATTATTGGAAGGACGCTGCTTCTTCGCACCAAACCAACAGCTTCGGTAACGCGGTTGGCCATTTTAGTATGCTCGTCGAGATATCTGCAGTCAGCCCAGTCGGTTTGGATGTCTTCAAGAGTGATCTGCATGGCATCCGCACCCGCTGAGCAGTCCTCGATATCCACACGATTGTGAATAATTTCCTCGACGGAGATATCTACGGCGTATGTGTATTGGCGCTGCTCTGTGGCGACACTAGCCAAAGGGTAGGCTGATTCAAAGAATGGGATTGTACCGGCCGGATATATCTGTGAGAAGAACTTGAGCAAGTGGCGTTCGGCTTGCTTCAGTGCCAAGTAAGGAGGCAAATCTACACCATTGGAATTGCGAATTGACGACAGAGACTTTTCGACGGCGGCGGACTCGGAAACATTGAAAAACTCCAGGTTCGAACAAGTCCGAAAGAAGGCATTACTTGTGCTCCAGAAGGTTTCCCACTTGGTCCCTGATTCTACTCTTAGGTGTTCTTGCACGGCTTCCTTGCTTCTCATGACGTGGACTACTGGGTTGGATGCTGCGAATTGTCGCAGTAGACCCTGAACACGTCTTTCCATCCAAGAACAGACGATTATGCATCCAGTAGTATTGGTCTCTAGGATGCTTTGGAGGACATCGCCTTGCTTTATTTGGCACTGCGTTGTGCCATGGACCTTGCTGTATGTGGGACTAGAGAAGTTGGTCGCGCGCTGGAAGGCAACTTCTAGGTCAACAATTCTCTTCTTGAGTGCCGACGCGGCCATAATCGCCAGAGTCGTCTTGCCAGCACCTCGCACGCCAACGATAACGATAGACGCATCGGGGGTGAACCTGGGCATGTGGCCATTGAGCGGCGGCAAAGTCGGCGACGGTGCTTCCGATGTATACTCGCTAGAATTGACAGAGGTTTTGGCGGAGCGAGATCGAGTAATGGGTTCTGTTGTGTCTCCCAACGACAGTGACCTCTCATCAGCCATCATGGCGGCCAGCGATCGTTTGACGCCCGCCATCATGAGTTGAGGAGTATTTGACCAACGCACCCATGTATTAGTGATTTCAGATGCAATCAATGCCGGCGGCGACCTGTCAGTCCATGATGAGTGGCACGGGCAGCTGGTGCAAGAAGTATGCCGTAAAGAAAAATCTCTCTGAAGCGGGTGTATCGGTTGAAAGGCGACTGACTGACAATCTATGGCACTTGGGCAAGTTGGAGCAAGTCGCGAAGGTTTGAAGTGGATAAGTGTTTATCCGGGCTGTTCCTTCCCTTGCCCATGGCTTCCCAGATCCCAACATGTTCCCAATCGCCACATGTGCAACTGGAGCTGCCACTCCGGGGAAGCTGAGCCAATGGAACTTGGATTATTGATTCTGCACCCCACGAAAGCTGCCAATTCGACGTCGCCAGCCTTTGCCCAGGTCCATTTCCATTGATTTTTGCGAAGCAGTCGCGCCGGAACCCACCATTACAGCTTCGACTGTCATGTTTCTGGCCGGACCAGGCCTCGCGAGTTGATTGCTGATTGCAGGTTCTGTAATTGAAGGCCGGCTCTCCCAGCCCAACATGCCACAGAAACGACGAGCTCGGAACGCCGCCGCAACCTCAAACGACACAGAAAATGGTGGCAAGTCCAAGAAGCGACGAGTTTCCCTTGCCTGTGATGCTTGCCGTGCAGCCAGAGAGAAGTGTGATGGTGCTCGACCAGAGTGTAGAACCTGCATTTCTCAACAGCGATCCTGCTCATACACTCCGGCGACCAAAAAGAGAGGGGTGCAAACGGGCTACCTGCGCGCGATAGAGCTATCATTGGCCTGGATTTTTGAACAAATGCCCGAGTGTGAAGAGAGACTGCTTCGATTTCTATCGAGAGGAGATAGAGACGCTACCAAGGACCACCGTGCGCTGTTAGGCAAAGGCATTGCTGGTCACCATTTGCAAAGACTTTGGAATCAGAATCGAGTGAGGAAGGCTGTTGATGGACTTTTATCCGATGCGCAAATCAATAACTCAGAGGATTCTGGAAACGACCTCGACACTGATGGTGAGAGTCAAGCGAATGCCCTGGATGCGACGTCACGCAGATCAGGCGAGTCCGTCACGGTGCCTAGAATGGTGCAAGACCCAGAATCAGCCCATGAACGTAGGCTCAGACTACCTACAAATTGGAAGCGGCTTCTGGACGTCTATGTGTCCTATACGCATTGTTGGCTGCCAATTGTGAACCTGGACCCCCTCCGGGCTCTCGCTTCATCGTACCCGTCTCAGGGTATCAGAATATGTAGCAATGTTCACGACGGCTCATATTTGAGGCATTCAGAGCTCTGGGCTGTTTTGACCATTGCTGCATATCAAGATGGGGGGTATACTGAAGGTGCTGGCTCGCGATCTCCCAATATATCGGAAATTTTCGACGTTTCTCATACTCTGATACCCGCAGACGACGGAGGATTCGATATTCATAGTATCAATGCGATGATCATTCATTCCGTGATCTTGATCGGAAAAAAGAAGACATTGGCGGCTTCACTCTTACTGGGAAAGTCCGCGCGACTCCTACAACGGCTACGACTTATAGAAGATGTCACAACACAAGAAGAGGGTGACTTTTACTTGATTCAGCACGCAGTGGTTTCACTTGCGTGCTCCTTCTTGGATGTTTTGACGTCTGTCTTCCTCCACCAGCATCCAATGCGAGGACTCAGTCATATCAAAGGCACCCGTCAAGTTGAGGCGGCCGACTTTGCTGACTTTGATCAGCCATGGGTTCCCGTACCTGAGATATCAGCAACGTCGACCAGCTCTACAATACCACCACAAATAGCGCAACCTATTAGGACCCTAACCCAACTGCATGCGTTTGCATCTGTGTTGAGTGATCACCTCACTTCGCACATGAGCGGAGAAAATCTTCCAGGGGTCACCGGACCCGAAGTATTGGTTAAGATACTTGACAGTCGCTTCAACTATTGCAATTCTTTGATATCAAGCGGATCAACACCCATGATACCATCGGCCTACTTGGTCAAACTTCTATTTTTGACGGCTACTATTGAGTTGACATCTAATCCAAGATCATCTCTGCTCTCTGGGTTCTTGGAGATTGTTGAGTCCTGCTTTGCAGTATTCGGTGCCGGCCACACCCCACCTGCCGTTGTGCTATTGCTGCAGATCGTGCAACGGCGTGCTGATGCGGATGAGATGGGGGAATCTGGCATAAGAAAGTGGCGCTCTATTACGGAAAGGTTGCAAAATATATGGCGTGAGCGCGAGCCGTATGCATACACATTGGATGAACCACCAATATACTCGAGCGAGGTGACAGAGCCTCACAACTTGCGGCAAATTATATTTACCCCGATTCCAACGGGGACAGATCCAGACGCCAAGGGCCATGCGGGATCACAACCTAGGGACCTCGGGGTGAAAGCTTTGACGGACCACGAGCCTGCTCAGCAATTTCGCTTCGGATACCAGGATGCCATTCCGAATCCAGCATTTGCCATTGACACACCAATTACTACTCGTCTGAACAGGGGCAGCGCAAACACCGCAAACACGCATACTGCCATGTTTCCTGGCAACCATCGAATGAGTCAAAGCTTTGATTACGACGCCATACTTGAGGACTTTGGATCTATTGGATACACAGATAATATCGAGATGGATACACGATTCATGACAAACCTGGGATTTGCCCCGGGATGTGATCTGGCGGAGATCTTTCAAGGAGACTTTGGCGTTTGATAGCTGCCCTGCGTCTGTATTACTTTAGCAACCTGGGGAAATACTATACCCACGGCCCGACAGCTGGGCTAAATTCAAGACGGTACTGCGAGTCTGCGCCCTTGGTTTAGAAACCACTTGACATGACAAGCGCAGGCTTGAGCTTCGGCTGGCGATGAGAGCTGGCAGAAGCCTCGTGGGATATTCGTTTATCCAAGCCACACGCGCTAATCAACACCATTGGTATTTGAGCTTCAACCCTTGGTCAGCCAAATTCCACAACTCCACAATTCCCCCGCACCCCGGATTTCAATGTGGGCAAGGTGCAGTTCCCACTGCCAACACCAATTTTCCCCAACAAGGCGTGGCAACTAGGCTGTCTGAAAGTAAAAAAAATCACATAGGTGATGGTCATCCGAAGATGGCGCTGCTCCTTTTCTTGCGGTAGCTTCATATAAGTTGACTGGTGGGACGCCTGAAGGCAACGTTCGAAGCTTTTCAGACAAGCCGGTATCAGCAGTTGTGTTCTGCTGCGACGATTTTCGTTGACTTTGTTACAATGACCTTGCTCGCACTCAAAGAAGATCGGCCAACGCCTTCTGCCGTCTACAACTGGCGTGTCTACGCATGTGCCGCTACAGCATCCTTTGCATCATGCATGATTGGCTACGACTCGGCCTTCATCGGGACAACTCTGGCCCTTCCGTCCTTTGTCGATGAGTTCAATTTTGCGAGCTACTCCCCGTCGTCGTTGGCGTTGCTTAAACAAAACATTGTTTCTGTTTATCAAGCAGGGGCTTTCTTTGGCAGCTTGGGAGCCTATGCATCCAGCTATTTTCTGGGGCGTCGCAAGTCGCTGGTCTTGTTCACCCTGGTCTTCATCGTTGGAGCAGCGATGATGCTGGGTGCGAATGGTGACCGCGGTACTGGACTCATAATTGGCGGCCGGGTCCTCGCTGGCTTCGGGGTTGGCGGTTGCTCAAACATGACACCAATTTACATTTCAGAGCTATCACCACCCGCAGTGCGAGGTCGTCTGGTCGGCATTTACGAACTCGGTTGGCAAATCGGCGGCCTTGTAGGTTTCTGGATTAACTATGGTGTTAACACGACAATGGCTCCGAGCCACTCGCAATGGCTTATTCCTTTTGCGGTTCAACTGATTCCGGCTGGTTTGCTTCTTATTGGCTGTTTTTTTATTCCCGAATCACCTAGATGGTTATTTTCCAAGGGCAAACGCGACCAGGCCATGAAGGTGCTGTGCTGGATGCGGCAACTCCAGCCCACAGACATTTACATTGTCGAAGAAGTCAGTTACATTGATGAGGAGACGGAACGGTATCGCCGAGAGGTTGGCGCCGGGTTTTGGAAGCCATTCCTGGCCCTCAAACAGAAGCGAACCCAGTGGAGATTCCTTCTCGGAGCGCTGCTTTTTGTGTTTCAGAACGGTAAGTGACGTGCGAAATGACGCCTAGTAGCTATCTTGCTAACAATCCAATAGGCTCGGGCATCAATGCCATCAACTACTATAGCCCAACAGTTTTCCGTAGCATTGGAATCACGGGGACAAACACAAGTTTCCTTACTACCGGCATCTTTGGTGTCGTTAAAACAGCTCTTACCGTTGTCTGGATTCTAGTCCTCATCGACCACATGGGACGACGCAACCTGCTGATGGTTGGTGCACTGGGCGGGTCTATCTGCATGTGGTTCATCGGTGCATATATCAAGATTGCTGGAGCCGATCCCAAGAGCTCCAGTGGCAATTTGAGCTCTGGCGGCATTGCTGCCATTTTCTTCTTCTACCTCTGGACGGCCTTCTATACTCCGTCATGGAATGGAACTCCGTGGGTCATCAACTCGGAAATGTTTGACCAGAATACGCGATCTCTTGGGCAGGCGAATGCAGCTGCCAACAATTGGTTCTGGAACTTCATCATTGCCAGGTTCACTGAGCAAATGTTCAACGCATGGGGCTACGGGGTGTATTTTTTCTTCGCGTCTCTGATGCTGCTCTCAGTCGTCTTCGTTTTCTTCTGCGTGCCCGAGACAAAGGCGCTGCCTTTGGAGGCCATGGACCGACTCTTCAGGATCAAGCCTACTTGGCGCGCAAATACCATATTGATGGAGGAGCTGCGCGCGGAGGAAGAGAACTTTCGTCACAATGCGGATGGTGTCGGGTTAGAGGTGGAAAAGATTGAAACAGAACAGGTTGAGTCGAGCAGTGGTTCTGTTCCAAAGGTTTGACTCGGCGGTCCGTTGAATTGACGAGAAGCTACGGGGAGTCCTTGTACAAGAGAATAGAGTAAAGTTTCACTTTCATTGAACCTACGAAGCCTTTGTAAGCAAGACTAAATGATAGAATCTAGACTTTGGATCGCGAGTGAATATTGTAAAAATAAAGTTAAAATTTACATATATGGCCAGATCACGGCCAGCTTATGCAGGTAGTCTGGCAAGATGACGAGAGATGTCAAGTGTCATGTTTTCCAGTCTTGATGAGACTAGTTGACATTTTTTGGTTGTGGAGAGAGCGAGGAGGACGGTGACCTTGGCCAACTAATAAATGTGTCACAGTAATATATTTTTACAGTGCTTCTTGCCGACGCTGTTTTTTAGATGTTTGCTTCAAGTCCCGACACATGTAGGCAGCCAACGAGATAGCTCTTTATCGAGCGACTCTTTGACTCGAATCCCTCCATGTCCATCTACACCATCTGCTGCACCATTGTCAAGGAAAAATAGTCGTATCAACTTGACCCTTACTAGCAGAGGGTTCTTCCGCTCCTGGTAGCACAACCACCATCGACAAAAGTCCACAGCGAACCCATTTCATATGTATTTTGCATCTATCTACAGGCGCGACTGCGACCGCTGTGCCACCTTTTCCCCAATGGCCGACTGGACCTTAGCCACGGGCAGTTGGTCGATCCGCAAGCCGGTCCAGTATCTATCCTGCTCGAGACCCTGCCATATCAGCGCCTCGGTGCCCAGAATCACCTGCCAGCCCCTTTCCCCGGCCAAGGCGCCCAGCCGCGTAAACGGCGAAGGGTTGTAGCACATCTCCAGCATGGCGCCCTTGTGGCGCTTGTCCATCAACACCTCGGCCACCTGTCTCGCCACGAGCTCCTCGCGCGTCCGGGGGTCGCAGTCGGGCACGCAGGCGACGATGGCGCCCGGTCCGTCGACGGCACGCGCCTCGTCGACGCTCGCGACGTGCCGCAGGCCGTGGCCGTATCCGCGCGAGGAGCAGTCTGCCACCATGGCGTCCACCTCGCTCTTGTCCCTGTTGACGAGGTAGATGTCCGTCACGTGCATCCACTTGCGGAGCGCGTAGATGGCACTCCGGGCTGCGCCGCCGCCGCCGATGACGAGGGCCGGGCGGCCGTGGAACGTGTGCGAGGGGTCGGCGACGTTGTGGTGGAACGAGTCTCTGATGCCGACGACGTCGGTGTTTGTGCCGCAGAGGATGCGGTGTCCGTTGCGTTGCTTGAGGAAGAGCGTGTTGCAGGCGCCGACGTCTCTGCACTCGTCTGTCATTTCATCCAGGTGCGCGAGGATGGCGACTTTGTTGGGCATGGTGACGGAGGCACCTGTGACTCTTGTTAGTGACGTCTCGGGGCCTTTTTTTCGTTTTCTGTTCTTTCGCAAGGGGGGGAGTGATGGACTTACCGTAAAATGATGGATGCTGTGCAAGTTGTAAGAACTGCGACATGTCTGCTGAGTCGAGCCGTATCTGGCTCCATTTCAAGCCCAGGTGGTCGTATATGATCTGGTGTAAGAACGGTGATAAGGAGTGTGTGATTTTCTGACCAAAGAGATACCCATGTCGATCCAGTCGTGTCTTTTGGTCCTCCAGAGTGTCTCCTAATGGCTTTTGTTGTTGAAGAGCCTCCGTCGTTGCCATGATGTAGATGTCATTGAGTTGAGTTTAATCGATCTCGGTACAGAGCTTGCGAACGAGAGAGTCTACGTCGAATGAGGTGTTGCGTTGATATGTCTTTGCGTACGACCCGTGCACTTGCATGCCATCCCCGGAAAAGCAAACTACCCTTCCCAGGATTGATGTGGCTTGGGAAGAATGCGGCATCCTGTCCGGAATGTCGGCCAAGGCTCGCGGCCGCCAAGATCAACGGCCCCACATCGGCATCCCCGCTTCCGGGAGCTGACCCGGGTAAAGACTTACCCGTTGCATTAATGCTTGCCTGAATGGGCCGCGTCATGTCGGGTGAATGGTGAACACTGATGGCGAATGCGGAAGCTTGGCGAGTGATGTTGGATAGGGGTTCTTCCTGCGGAGTTTGACAAGTCAGCTAGGTTGCCGCAGATGAAGGAGTATTCCGTCCACACCTTGCTGTCCCGGACTTCAATTCACTCCCGTACATGGCCAATTATGTTTATCCAAGAGCGTGATGGATGGAGTTTCCGAGTGATGGGCATTGCAGACACTCTCAGAAAGAGCTGTACGGGATGTAAATACTTGGGCATTAATCCGCACATGCACATGTTCATGGTGACACAAGGTCTCCCGTGTTTGGCGCAAGCAAGGCTGGCAATCAAGCTCTGTTCGCATGCGCCTCCCTTCTCATATAATTGGCAAACGTCATCTACAATCCAGAAAAAGATATAAACCGTAATCGTCAAAAAAACATCTCTCAAAATGGTGCACATGGCCAGCATTTGCACCATGTCCCTCGGCCGCTGTGCCGCCGGCCACAAACTCGAAGATAAACTTGAAATGGCAGCCCAACACGGCTTCCAAGGCATCGAGCTCTTCTACGAAGACCTGGTCGACTTCGCAAAAACTATTCAAGGTGGAAACACCCCAGAAAATGAACTAGCCGCAGCAGTCATGATTCAGAAAATGTGTCAGAAACGCGGACTCGTCATCATCTGCCTCCAGCCTTTCATGCACTACGAAGGCTTGGTCGATCGGGCTCTGCATCAGAAGAGAATCCAGGAGATGCATCACTGGGTGAAGCTGGCTCACAATCTGAACACTGATCTCATTTTACTGCCGAGCAGCAACCTGGCGCCCGAGCACATTTCCGAAGATGTGAACGCCATCGTTCGAGATATGCGGGAAGTCGCCGAGATTGGCCTCCAGGCACGACCAGTAATACGGTATGCCTTCGAGGCTTTGAGTTGGGGAACCAGAGTCGACACATGGGAGGCCAGTTGGGATGTGGTCAAGAAGGTGGACCGGTGCAACTTTGGGATTTGCCTGGACTCGTTCAACATTGCCGGGAGAATATACGCGGATCCTTCAGTGTCCTCTGGCTGCACCCGGGACTGTGACGAGGCAGTTGTGCGGTCGGTGGCAGGCATACTCAGCGAGGTCGACGTTTCCAAGTTGTTTCTATTGCAGGTTGCGGACGCAGAAAAGCTGTCGAGGCCGCTTACACCACGGCACGAGTTTTACAACCCCGAACAGCCTCCCCGAATGAGTTGGTCGCGCAATGCTAGGCTCTTCTACGGCGAGGATGCGCACGGTGCATATCTCCCCGTGCGAGCTATTTTGAGTGCCATTGTCACCGGCTTGAGATGGGAGGGTTGGCTGAGCTTCGAAGTCTTCAACAGAGAACTCTTCAACCCCGACCCTAGGATACCACGTCTTATGGCTCAGCGTGCAGCCCGCTCGTGGAACAAGATGGTTTCGGAACTGGGCCTGACGACGGACCAGCCAAAGGAAAAGATGCAACCGATGCTATAAATATACCTAATAAATTACAACTCTAGACATTGTACACATGTGCTACAACCGTGACGCGTGACTCTTAACATGCCGAACCACAAACTCCAACGCAGCCTCATAACCGTATACACCCAGCCCGCAAATTACCCCTACCGCTTTATCGCTCAAGTAGCTATGTCTTCTGAACTCTTCTCTAGCGTGGACATTGGAAATATGCACTTCCACAAACGGGATGTCAACTCCAGAAAGGGCATCGCGTATGGCGACGCTAGTGTGCGTGAAGGCACCAGGGTTAATGATGATGGCATCAATGTCGCCACGGGCCTGGTGGATGCGGTCGACTAGCGCACCCTCATGGTTGGATTGGAAGGACTCAATGGTGCTAGAAAGGGAGGATGCTTGGGTTGTGAGGGTGGCGATGATGTCGGAGAGCGTTGTTGAGCCGTAGGTTTGCGGCTCGCGGGTGCCGAGGAGGTTGAGGTTCGGACCGTTGAGAAGTAGGATGCGGGGCATTTTTGGATACAAAGCCAGCACTGAGTTGAGTACATCTTTTTCAGTTACAGATGGAGAGAAAACGGGCTTATTTTAATACATGCGCTGTCAAAGTGGCCAATGTGTGGGCTGCGTCTGGGGTCTGGGTAAAGCATCATCCAGAAGGTGGAAGCGCTTCGCCTCCTTGCGCCGGGATTTCAAACCGTTGATATCCGTCGGTATGGGATGGATGGTGATCAAAAATTGCAACACATCATCCTCTTCAAATGATACCATATTGGACAGACAACTATTGCTGGGTTGACAGCTGCAATGGACGACCATCAACTCACCGAGATATACGCCTTTGCCAAAAAGCTCGGTAGAGATGCTGGCCAGATGCTCCTTGACTCTGCCTGGAGTAGAATCAAGACTCCATCATCCTACGGCAATTTCCAGGAGAAAGAAAGCTCAGTTGACATAGTCACAAAGACAGACCACGGTACATATGAGACACCACCTACCACCTATGCCATTTCTACCGGAATCTAACTGTAAAAGCCGTCGAAGAGTTCATTCGCCAATCCATCATCACCAGGTTCCCTGACCACAGGTCCGGCACCAACGCGTCACTTAGCCTCAGCAGATACTAACTGTTACAGCTTCCTCGGCGAGGAATCATATTCAGCCGGCTCCTCGAAAGAGTACCTCGTCACGTCTGCGCCGACATGGATCGTTGACCCCCTTGACGGCACTGTCAATTTCACACACCTATTCCCTACGTTCTGTGTTTCCATCGCATTCTGTACTGGAGGTCATCCCGTCATCGGAGTGATCAACGCCCCATTTTTGAACCAATTCTTTTCATCGTGTCGCGGAAAAGGCGCCTGGTTCAATGAACAACATCAGCTGCCCTTGGTGAGGAATCCGATACCGCCTCTGCCAGAAGCTGCCCCGAGTGGATGTACCTTTGCCTGCGAATGGGGTAAAGACAGGAGGGAAGGCCCAGAGGGAAACTTGAATAGAAAAGTCAATTCATTTCTCAAGATGGCAATGGAGAGGAAGGGTAGAGGAGGACGAGGGGGGATGGTCCATGGCGTGAGGAGTTTAGGGAGGTATGGGACATATATACAGCATGTTGAATATGGTGGTTATGCTGATGATTCGCAGTGCGACAATGGATTTGGCGTATACGGCGATGGGGTCGATTGACATTTGGTGGGAAGGAGGATGCTGGGAGTGGTACGCATGACAAGTGAAGGATATTTCAGGCTGTCTTCACTCATTGACCTGTGATAGGGATGTCGCTGCCGGTATTGCCATCTTGGAGGAGGCGGGAGGTCTGGTTACAACTGCTAATCCCCCGCGCGATTATACACAAGCTGCCATCCCGCAAGTCAAACTAGGTGGACGATTATACCTTGCTATACGGTAAGACCAAAAGCAACACAATGTGTTTAAACAGCGCTGATAATCACCAGTCCTGCCGGCAGCTCAGATACAGAGACGGCCCTGGGAGCACAACACCGTGTGGTGAGACAAGTGTGGCAGAGGGTGGAAGCCCTTGATTATGACCGACTACAGTAGAAACAACGCGCCGTACTGTTGTCTTCAAACAGAATCATGCTATAGAAGCATTCCCCAACCCGCAGTGAAGAAATTTCACAAGAGCAACTCATCATCATGCCACCAAGTAAATTCTGTCCTCTGTCGCAAAATCAGACCAAACCGAAGCAATTTCAAAACCCATCATGAGATCTCCAAATCGTTCATGCGGCTGATAAAGTCTTCCTGCAAGTGTTTCAAGTATCCGGGTAGGGCTTCGTCGCTCCCGTACTCGTAGGCTTGTTTCAGAGCCTCGTGCAAACTGAGCACGAGCTTACGACGGGCTACCAACCGTCGAGACTCAGAATCCCGCAAACTAGCCTCTCTTTGTTGCCGCAGTGCTTTTGCCACCTCTTCGGCTCGCTTAGTAAAAGGTTCCGGAAACCCAATCGCCCGTGCTAAATCGATTCCGTAATGCTGGTTTGTGTCGACAACACCAGATTTTGCCTTGTAGAGCATGACCAGTCGTGGTTCACCTTCATCTGAGATCGACCGCTCAGAGGCTAAATGCAAACTCAACACACCTGGGCGATCCTCTAAAACGCGAGTCAGGTCAACAAAATGAGTTGCAAACCACACAAAGGCACCCGACTGTATAAGTGCTTCTGACATTGCAATTGCCATTGCCAGGCCATCCCTGGGGCTCGTGCCGCGGCCCAGTTCATCAATTATCACCAAACTTTTGCCGTTTACATTTCGCAGGATGAAAGCCATTTCCCGCATCTCGAGAGAATATGTGGAGAGATTCGCTTCGAGATTATCGGTCAACGACACTCGTGCAAACAGATTGTGCATTACGGGGAAAGACGCATATTCGGCCGGAACAAAGCACCCGATTTGGGCCATTATCTGCAGCAGCGCAATAGCTCTGATGTAGGTAGTCTTGCCTGCCATATTGCATCCTGTAACAATATGGAAACGATGCTGAGGCGTCGCGTAGTAGTCATTCGGAACAAAGCCCTCAAACATGATCTAAATGGTCATTAGCAGTGTCCGAATCTTTCGCAAGTGGGAGCACTGACATTGTCCAATATTGGATGTCGGGCTGCTTTTAACGCCAGTGTATCTAAGATCTCTGGTCGGACATAGTCTTTGATGGTAGCAAGATGAGCAAAAGAGGCAATCATGTCGACCAAAGCAACTGATTCACAGACCCTAAACAGCTGCGGAGATGATTCCCTGAGATCCAAGATCAGTTCTTGGATTACTTTGTCACTACGCATGATAATTTCGTTTGAAGTCTCTGATAGCCGGAAGTTTAACTTAACTAGTGACAGAGTCTGACACTGGATATGATCCTTCTTTTTCACGACGTTGATGAAGACTTGAGGTAATGTGTCTTTGTTGAGGTCCCCTGATTTAATGCGCAGCCAATACTTGCGCCCGTGGTCGAATTTGACAGTCAGCTGAATACCATGCTGGGCTAATTTCCACAATGTTATTCATTTGTGATTGAGACTAATATCTCCAACGAAATACCTTGGATGTCGTTGACATGGAGATGGATATCATTCGTTAGTTCTTTGTACGCTTGTCGTGCAACATCTAGCATGTCATTGATACCAGCCTTGACGGCGAACGTCCTCTGATTGCGCATGTCGAGGGGCGAAGTCATATACGTAACATCAGCCTCTACGACCTGATGAATCCTGGATAAGATAGGGTCTGTCGTGTTAGGGTGGCAAATGTCTCGAATCTTGAGAAGAAGCGCGCTATTGCATTCAGCCAGCGCTTGATAGAGCTCCGGCACTGACTCAAGAAACGTTTTTATAAGAATGACGTGATTAATTTGCTCTTCGGCGTGGGTGATACTCGACTTGGTGGATATCGTGATCATCTATTACAGGTTAGCTCGCATCTCCATGCCATGATCTTGTCAAAATATCCCTTTGTGAGAACTCTTTCGATGTCTTTGAAGTTTTCAAGCGCTATGTTTCGTTAGTGGTTAGTGGCATCAATACATCTTCTGGGTTAGGAAAATTACCCTTTCGAACCGCATGAAACATTTCTTCCTCACTCGTAAGCTCCTCTAAGGCTTCGTACCGGGGTCTTATAAAAGTATCGTACTTTGTTGGGGGCTGAAGAATATTGTTGCGAAGCATGCGTGACCCCATTGGCGTCTTGGTTTGATTCAAAAGCCCAAAGAGACTGTCCTTGGACTTGGGTTTGTCAAGGTTCTGTATGATCTCCAGAGATTGTATGACCGAGATATCAACCATCATGGTATCTTCCGACGGTCGATATTTGATACGCAATGAATTAGGAGCGAAACTGATCGTGAATGTGTGCTCAATATATTTCATGGCATGAGATGGAGGTTAGCATATGCAGTAGGGAGAGCAGCCCTATCAAGTGAGTCTTACTGCCGCAAGCGAGCTGATGCAGTAATATTTGCCCTGCACTGCTACCTTCATGGGGTCGATATCGCTCTTGAATGCCAGGTTGTCTATGTATTCGAGGCCGTCCACTTCCGACCAGGCGGATCTGTCCAACACTTCGATGTCTGCATCTGGTATGAGCTCATCAATCAAGGTATAGAGAACACTGTCTTTGTTTGGCGGGCAAGCCGTAGACATCAAGACAATTCTAGATGGGCCTGCTATCTGGAGCTTGTGGATCGTTTTGACGTATGATTGATTGTCGCATATCTGGCTCAACACAGCCTCACCGAGCGTAATATTCACAAGCGCAAGCCCAATAGAAGGTGAAATGCCACGAGACTCGGCAACAGCGCAAATGATGGTTTGTTGGTCACTTGCTCCCAACATTGTAGACAGAGTACCAGTTCGCGACTTGCGCCCCGAGACACTGGTCGATGGACGCGATCTACCGGCCGTGATATTGGACTTGGCTGTGCTTGACACTATGCCGGCTATAGACGGGGTTGCAGTCATTGAGCTGCCGCCCTCAGAAATGTCACGAGGAGGCCGCCGGCTGGAGGTGGACGAGGACGTGTTAAGAGCACGGGAAGGGCGCTGAAAATAAGACGATGTCGTTCTGGACGACCGGGACTGCCTGGGTTGTCGAGGCATGATTCGGGTTAGGACGGGCGAAATCCTGGTCGATGGTTCGTACCGTGTTTCGATGCTGCGGCAGGCCAGTTTTGGTAGGGACAGGGTGGACTGCAAGCACCTGGAGATGAACGAGCACGACGAACCAGCAATGGGGTCGATGATACGAAACGTCAAGTGTTCTGAATTCAGAAACTAATTCATCTGATGTGTGTGGTCCGCGACACCACAGTACGAGAATTCGCCAATGGGGCTGGGCAGTTCCTTCCAATTATGATGATGACAATGATGGAAATGAGGGAAGGCGCGTTGGGCTGATTGACGATGATGGGGACCGCACAAGGGTGCGTGTGGCTCCGTCAACACAAACATCTCGCACCACCCCAGGGCCAAATCCGCACACCCCTCTTACACCATCACAAATCACAGCTCGGAAGTATCGTCCAATGTTCGGGATTTTGGAGGCGGCTGCGGTCCCTCACTCGGGCATCTTCAATACCTATGAAGACCTGATGCTCGATCTCAACAGGCGCATGGAAAGGGAAGGCTACAAAATTGTCAAGGCGAGATCCCATCGTAACAAGATCGGCGGCGGTGATGTGGCCGGGAACGAGATAGTTCGCTGCGATCTGGTGTGTGACCGCGGAGGACGACCGTACAAATCTACAGCTACCAAACACAAGACGCACACCAAGAAGACGGGTTGCCCGTGGAAGGCAAAGGCCGTGAATCGCAAATCAGTTGGCGGCTGGGTTCTGACCGTATTCTGCAACGAACACAATCACGAGGCCGGAACACCTGAACCTCCCAGCGTACCAGAGGCTTGCGAAGAGGATGGTACCGATGCGGACAATGAAGACGGTGCGTCATGAAATATTGTATATTGTTTCTCAGGTTCTAAACCATTCCGACTCTAACATGAGAAAAGAAATTCATGCCGGACCAAGACCAGACCCCGAGACTTCGGCGGCCCTTCGAGTCGCGGGAGTATCGGACAGCACTTTGCGCCTAACTGGAGACACATTCCATCACCTCAAGACGGATTACCGAAAGATGACACAAGGAGACCGTCTTAATGCCCTGGCACAGCTGCAACTGCGAATAGCAGCGCTTTATGCTGTCCAGAATGAAGATATGCAGAGGCAGAGACGGCAAGAAGATCAGCATCAGCGTCATCGGGCCGTCGACGCCAGCAGGAACACTCTATCCGCGCAGAAATACCGTGCGCGAAGACACCCGAGAACCCAAGATGAGCAGCAGAAACAGGCAACTAATCTCCCAGTAGAGCCCGAACTGTCGTTGACCGAGGACCTCGTGCACATAGGTCCCAACCACACTCCAGATGCGTTAATGCAGGGGCCACATTTCCAACTGACCGTCCCTGGCAGTGCAATGGACAGTGTCGAGATGCCACAATATCACGGATCCTCCAAGAGGATGAGGCCATACCGAACCCAAGGCACATGAGCACCAACATTTGCAACTTCGCCAAGCCTCGTCTCATAAGTGGCGATTTTTGGTGGGGCGCGTATCAATGCCGTTGTTGACGCGCTTGTGCCAACCGGGCTCACCGCCTAAATTTTGTCAGAGTTTTGCCGCCCCGCCAGAGCAGTTTGAGAAATTCGGAATCAGCCTGGGGGGGAATAATTGGCGAGCATCGCAACTGAAGTACGTCGCGACATCAATATTTCACAAAATGGCAACCGTCGTCCCCCCGCCATCAAAAAGGCAGAAGCGTGAAGAGCTCGAAAGGTCCAGAGTGCAGCAGGATGTTAACGCAGCCATGGCCGGGCCGGAAGGCTCATTCAAGGCTCGGTTTCTGGACGGCGACGGGAATCAGGTCTGCGATGTGATTGAAGTACCTCTTGCAGATGCCTCGGAAAAGAACCTGTCACTCCTTTTGAACACCCTATTGTCAAGGGTGAGCTGCCATACACTCTGGTGCACTTAATCTTACCGTGTACTGACTCTGGCATGTTTCAGGAACGAGAAGAGTATTTGCCGTATCGATTTCGAATTCACATTCCAGATTCCGACATCATCGTTGACCAGTATCCCAAAGATTTGCTTCAGCTCTTAAGAAGTCATGGCATCGAGAACCCTTTCGAGACAACTGTTACCCTCACTGCCGAGCCCCAATCAGTCTTCAAAGTGCATGCTGTCACACGCATGTCACATAGAATTCCAGGCCACGGAGAAGCAATTCTGGCAGCTCAATTTAGCCCAGAGACAAATACTCGTCTAGCTACGGGGTCTGGTGACAAGACTGCTAGAATATGGGATACTGAAACTGGAACTCCAAAGTACAAACTAGCCGGCCATACACATTGGGTGCTCTGTGTCGCATGGTCGCCTGACGGCAAACGCCTGGCTACTGGAAGCATGGACAAGTCTGTCAGACTTTGGGATCCTGCAACAGGGAAAGCAGTTGGAAGCCCTCTCAGAGGACATTCCAAGTGGATCACCAATATCGCGTGGGAGCCTTATCACCTATGGAGAGATGGCACGCCGCGGCTGGCAAGCGCGAGCAAAGACATGACTGTGAGAATTTGGGTCGTAAATACGGGAACGACTGAGCATGTGCTCTCTGGGCATAAAAGCTCGGTCAGCTGCATTCGATGGGGTGGGACTGGTCTCATATACACTGGAAGCCATGACAAGATGGTGCGAGTCTGGGATGCGGCAAAGGGCACATTGGTGCATACCTTGTCATCACATGCTCACTGGATTAACCATTTGGCGCTTTCAACGGATTTTGCCTTGAGAACGGGGTATTTCGACCACCAGCCAACGCCGATTACAGAGGACGAGAAGCGGGCGAAGGCCAAGGAGCGGTTCGAGAAGGCAGCGAGAATCCAGGGGCGAGTATCCGAGCGCCTGGTATCCGCGAGTGATGATTTCACAATGTTTTTGTGGGAGCCTTCTCAAGGAAATAAGCCGGTGGCCAGGATGGTCGGCCACCAGAAGCAAATCAACCATGTCACGTTTTCTCCTGACAACACCTTGATTGCTAGCACAGGATGGGACAACCATACAAAGATCTGGAGTGCAAGGTATGAGGCGTATCTAAAAACAAGGGGCCATTATAGAACTAACAAGGCTTCACAGAGATGGCAAGTTCATCGACACTCTGCGCGGGCACGTCGCTACGGTTTACCAGTGCTCATTCTCTGCTGATTCTCGTTTACTGGTGACAGCATCCAAGGACACAACCCTCAAGGTCTGGTCAATGGCGTCTTTCAAGCTAGTGGTCGACCTCCCCGGCCATCATGATGAGGTATACGCAGTAGACTGGGCACCAGATGGTAAGCGCGTTGCCAGTGGAGGTAAGGACAAGGCAGTACGATTATGGGCGAACTAGATTTTCTCTTTTGGCAGCGAGACACCGATCAAGATAAACGGCTTCCCAACTGAGCCTTGCGATATCCAGTTACCAATAAAAAAAATATCTCCGGTATATACCCGCTATTTTAATCTTTATTTAGTGATTTCTCTACAAACCCGGGAGGTTAGAGTCAAGACACATACTGCGACAACGACGTGAAATCAGGCAGGATTCAAGCAGTAGACCAATCTGAATATTTTTTCCGAAGGACCCGAAGCTAGCGATCCTTTGCGAGGACTCTGAGATCCCAAGGCTACACAGATCTTGCTGTAACTGGGCCATGTGGATATATCGTGTGGATATCGCCGGACTTGGAACCAAAATGCGGGATGTGGATTTCAAGTCAACATTGTTGCGCTCCTTTTCATAACATACAAGGCCAGCTTCAAGAAAATTTTACCTCATACGGTTTATGTAGGGACTCTTGGCAATGTGTTGCAGGGGGGAGGGGGGGAGACGAAGAAATTTTGCATGAGTGTTGAAGAGTTGATAAGAACCGGATGTTATTTGACATGGGCGCCTGAATATGTCAAGCTAGCGGTAACTTTGTCGTCTTTCCAGAGCAGAGATGCACTTTTCTTCACTATTCCTTTGGCTGACCATAGGGGCCGCGGCCACGGAATGGCCAGATGTAGTCACCATGACTACCACGCAGACGCAGTATGCTCCGTGGGAAGGAATTGTGTACCAGGACGGGGATGTGTGCTATTGTCCGTTGGAGATTTCAACTCCAGATATAGCATCATCTTCTACATCGGCAATAGTCACGTCTCTTAAAGCTACTGCTACTGACGTTGTGGTTCATCCAGGCGGCTCTACCTGTCCACCGACCGACGGCGATTTAAGTCCTACAACATCTGTACCTCCCCTGACGCCGGGACAATCGACACTTGCAACGTCACAGGCTCAGTCCGAGGCACCTTTCCCCTCGTTTTCGCAATATGCGAGTCAAAGCGGAATTATACCGTCACCGGCATCGTCCGAGTCACGAAGTCTGCCGAATGGGCAATCCAGCGCGGTGAATACGGAGACGACGTCTCTACATTTCAAAGAAACGACGCGTGAGGAGATGAGCACGACTTCTTTGGTACCAGTGCCGTCATATAGTCAGACTATAGCGCCTAGTCAAGGGAATGCAACGTGGTCATGGAAATCAGCAAGCCCAGGTGGCTCGACGTCGAAGACGGGCTCTGTGGTACCATCTGTGTCGAGTAGTGAGATTCTGTCGAGCAAGGCTGGCGAGTCCAAAGGCTCTCGCCAACCTATATCTAGTGCTCATACGCCACAACCCGGTACTTCTAGCCTCCCGGTTTCTGGTGACGGTTCTTCGCAGACTGCCAGCTTTAGCACGAAGCCTCGGTCTGAAATCTCACGCCAACCAGTGCCATCCAACTCGTCAATACCAGAAAGCTCCTCGTGCATCGAAAGCTCGACTCCTCCCAGCTTCTCCACGCCAGTGACCTCGTTCTCTTCTTTCACAAGGGGAAGGTCAACTTTAAAGCCTGCCATCTCTAGCCCGACAGTTTCGAGTCCTACATTCTCGAAACCAATTCGCTCAAACACTTTAATTTCTCCTACACTGGGGAATTCTAGTGCACTGACTTCATCGGCTCCGAGTTCAGTAATGCCTGGTCGTTCTTCGCAGCCTGTAGTCTCAAGTCAAGCTGTGTCAAGTTCAGGCTCGTCAAACCAGGAGGGCTCAAGTACTCCGGTATCAAGCTACAGCTCGACTCAACCAGCTAGCTCTACCCTAAGCTCCAAGTCTAGCTCATCCAAGTCATCAAGCTCGAGCATGGTCACGGTTAGGGCAACGACACCGGTCAACAGCAGGGGTAGCACGTCAACAGCAGTGATCTCTTCGTCCGGCCAGCCGTCACTCCATTCCAGTAAACAACAGTCCTCCACCGTCTCACCCTCGTCAAGTGGCAGGATGTCGAGCAAACTTGGCTCCTCGACATTGGTATCAAGTTCGGCCGACTCGACAATCGCCACGTCGCCAAGCGTGGGCCCCAGCAAAACATCTTCCAGCTCAGAGTCTACAAAGTATACATCTTGTGTGCCTACGGCTGCCTTTGCCGTCGAGGATTCCGCCAAATTGGCGCCAACCTCTACGCCTGGAGGTCCAGTCCGTCGGGGTCCTGTCGAGGTGTTTGGGAGAGCCAAGTGCAGCCCAGGAACATTTCGATGTATCAGTACGCCTTCGGGGTGGGAGGCATGCGACACCCAGGGCAAGTGGATCGTGAGTATTTGCCACTATACCATTCTTCCTAGAGTCTATGCTGACGATTTTCCTATGTAGTTTGCCGGCGTGTGTCCCCCGGCAACGCATTGCGTTTACTATCCGGAGGACTTGGGGCTTCTCTGCCTGCCACCTTGTTAAGACGGCTTGCTGTGTACTTGTGGACAGCACACGGGAGTTGATTTTTTTTTTTTTTGCAAGGCCTCTTCAGCACCTGATTATCATCTTTACAAGGAGTTGATGGTAGATTTCTCGCGCATAGTATAGACTACCGCACACGCTGCACTGGGTCGCCAGGTAGTGCTTCTTGCCAACAGCTGGACCTATACACGAGCAGACAATAACAATAGCCATGACACTTATTCCGTAAGGAGCCAAGGGTGACTGGCAAGCACAGCTGCTAGGACACACAATACCCCTGTCGTGCCGTAGGTGGCAATGTTACTTCCGTATCTCCAGGGGTCTCAATCATGAACTGACTGCCAGGATGATTCGCATGTTTTACCCAGAACGCTCAAAGCACCCTTGGCGTAAACATAACATGTTCAATAGTGGTAGCACGGCTTCTCTGCACAGGCTGGGGAAGGCGGGCCGCGATGTGTGATTTAATTAAGAAGCGTAGTATTGTGACCATTTGCTGCAACGGTGTTTTCCGCCGGCGGGTTGTGGTTTGCGGTCGTGGCAACCCTCATGACAAACCGCACGACTCGACCGTGTCTCACGCAAACCTACAATGTATTCACCAGCACCGTTGAGATGAGTTGCTCTTGGTAATTGGCCAAGGGAAATAGGGTCAACTGCCAGATTTGATCTACGCTGCCAATCTCTCACGAGTCCTCTTGTCCATGGGTTGCAATATGGTCATTGGTCAGTCTGCAAAGCCGCGAAAAACACCAAGAAAAGAAGATCGAAAGGCAAAAGGCCGGCTTGTCATGGTCAGCCCATCGTGTCCATTCCACTCCTAAGCACCATCCCGATGCAGCAAGAGGCTCTCAGCAGTGGATCGGGTGAATTTCGCCCACAGCAGCTTAAACCCGACACATGCATGCATGTGGCCCTCGACTCACACCGACATGGAGGCGTGCCTCAGCCACGGGGTCCCATGGCTCTTGACGGCCCTTCCTCCACAAGCACATGTGTCAACAAGGCGAGTTGTACAACATCGTCGCTCAGACTCCTCGGCTTGGACATGAAAGGCTGCAGCTGACAGTCTTACCCCAGATTCTCGATTGTAATCCTGGAGTGGGATGGGACGCCCCCCGGCTGTCCAGGACGAATGGAGCGCCGCCCTGGGAAGCGTCTATCCACGTTCCGGGCAAGATCTGCAACTGGGTCTGTTTGTGTGCCTGGGCGCTTCGCTAGCCGAGAGGTGTTGCTCCATGTGTCGGTCGAGACGGGGTGCTGGTGAGAAGAGTCTCGGAGGAAGCGCATTCGATGTATTCGAGAGGCCGTGCTCTCAGTCGACAGAGCGACGAGGCCAAACCTGCCACGATCACGACATGGAGGCCTTTGGGCTGGGGAGTCAAAGCCGGTAGTAGCGCCGCACACCAGAACATTCGAGCGCTCCAACTCGACGCCATCTTGATGCGGGGACGGGCCCTTTCCCATTTCAGACCATGATCCGGGGGAGAACCGACCGGACATGTGGAGCAAATTGAACTTTCGATGAAGGTGCATGGGGTTGCTGCTTGGGGACGGTTACGGAGTAGACGTGATGAAGATGGGCAGAGCAGCATCAAGCGGCGGCAGGCAAAATGTATAAAAAGACTGTGACCAGCCGGTCGAGCCGTGATGGTTTGCGCCCATCGACTCCCGTCAAGTTGCAAAACCTCATCCTCCGATTCCTCCCCCCAAGAGAAGAGTCCCAACATTGAAGACCTCCTCCAACTCCATCGCCAGCTGTACCCACTTGACCGACTGACCCCTTTGCCCCGGGCTCTGGCTTGTCCTCCCTCCTCCCACCATGCGTCTCACCCCCATCCTCAGCATCATGGCCCTCGCGGCCACCGCCATCGCCGACGGCAAGGCCATCACCGACGCCATGGCCAGCATCAAGACCAAGACCACGGACCTGGGCGCCACCGTGAGCAACTGGAAGGGCGACCTGCTCGGCGCGCTCCCCATCACCGTCAAGTCGACGCAGCTGCTGAAGGAGATCAAGACGGCCACCAAGACGGCCTCGAAGTCGGCCGTCCTGACCACCGAGGAGGCCCTCGCCGTCGCCGGCGCCACCACCGACCTGAGCAAGGCGGTCACGGCCTCGCTGCAGATCATTGTCGACACCAAGCCCAAGTTCGACAGGCTCATCATCCTGAGCCCCGTCGTGCTGCTGAACCTCGAGATGCTGAAGGATGCCACCGATGACTTTAGCAGCGAGGTCGTCTCCAAGGTGCCCGAGGCCTTGCAGGGCATCGCCCAAAGCTTGATTAAGCCCATTGAAGATGCCTTTGCCGCTGCCATTAAAAAGTATCAGCTTTTCTAAAAGGCATTTTTTTGTCTTTTTACTGGCTGGGGAACAAGTCTTGTGTCATGGATACAGAGTCCTGGGGAGGACCACGATGGGATGGGGAGAGCGTGAAATGGGCATCTACGTTTTTGCAAAGCGCCGTTTTCGTGTACATATTTTTCAGAGTCTTGCACTTAAAAGACCTTGTTCATGCTCAGCGTGGCTTACCACCGTACCTATTACATCTTTTGGTCTCCTCGGTGGTGAGGGGGGGCGACTGTGACCTGGATCAACATGGACAATTGTGCTTGCCGGATCTGATTTCCAACAGCTCTTCAGCACGCACCGCGTTACATGGATGGACATGAAGCCAGCCCTGACACTATCCACATCTCCTGCATTGCATATAATGACAAGTCACCATATCAAAGACGCATGCGAATGGGCCCCCCGTCCCGCGGGTGCCATCACCAATTCACTCCGTTGCAGCAGCATCCGTGGTTCATATTCACAAATAAATCTGCCCACTTTTACCTGACAATCCCACCTCGTGCCGGCCTAGTCCATCTGATCAACCGTCTGCGGCGTCGCTGTCCCGTTGGCCTCCTTCGCGGCGCCCTGCACGTCCAGGTCCTTGTCGCTGACGATGCACCGCCAGCCAAACTCGTCCGCGGCCTTGCCCAGCTGAATCGCCTGCAGGTGCGTCAGGAGCTTCAGGCAGATGGGACCTGCGTCGGCCTGCCCCTCGGGGATATACGTCACCACGTCCGCGTCCGCCGTCGAGCTGACCCGCGGCCCGGCGGGCAGGGAGCCGCCGACGGGGCCCTTGCGGCGCGTGATGCTCCGGATGGGCACCAGCGCCGCGGCCGTCCCGGCGGCAAAGACCTCGCTGAAGCGCGGGAGCTCGGCGTACTGGACGGACCGCCTTTCCACCTTCCACCCCCAGCTCCGGGCAATATGCTGGACGCTGTCGCTGGTGACGCTGTCAATGACGCACTTGGAGTCGGGCACCACGAGGGTCACGTCGTCGTCCGAGGCGGCCACGACGCCGATGAAGCCCGAGGTGCTAAACTCGTCAATCTCCTCGTGCCTGGCGCTGTCGAGGTGCAGCGTGATACCGAAGCCCTCCCGCTTCGCCTTGCCGCTCCACTTCAGGACGGGCGCGTAGTTGCCGCCGACCTTGGCGTGGCCGGTGCCGTTGGGCGCCGTGCGGTCAAACTCGTCTAGGATGAGGGCCTTGACTGGGTGCGTGCCGTGGTACACGCCCGTGGGGATGACGAAGACGCAAAAGGTGTATTCCTCGGGGGGGTCCAGCCCCAGCTGCGCGCTTGACCCGTACAGCTGGGGGCGGATGTACAGCGCGGCCCCCGTCTCGTGGGGAGGCACGAAGCCGGCGTTGAGGGCGACGGCGGAGCGAACCGCCTGCAGGAAGACGTCGATGGGGACCTCGGGCATAGACGCTACGTCAGCCGAGTGCTGGAGGCGCGCGGCGTTTCGGTCCGGGCGGAAGACGGTGATGGTCTCGTCGCCGGGTGTGCGGAAGGCCTTGAGGCCCTCGTAGGCTTGCTGGCCGTAGTTGAGGGCCGGCGCCATGCCGTGGATGCGCATGAAGGGGTCGGTCACGAAGCGGAGAGGCGACCATTTGCCCGTCGTTTTGGAGTACGTGGCTTCGATGTGGCCATTGACTGCGACGAGGTCAGTATCTACGAAAACATGTAGCCCTGGCAATGGGGGGTCGAGGGAAGCATTGGGAACCGGGGAGAAACAGACAGCGCCCCTGGGATGGTGCTTTGGATCGCCACAGGACTTTCAACTCACCCTCGCGGATCTTGAAGCCTACATTGCTCCAGTCAATGGTGTTCACGGGCGGGGGAGGGAAAGCACCAGGCATCGTGACTCGATAGTCCTGCGGTGCGACGGTAACTATGCAGGGTCCAAGAACGACTTTATGTTGGGCTCGTGCGCCAAGAAAAAAAACCACGGCGACACAAACCGCAAAGTAGAGGCTAGAAATGAGCAACCAGGAACGTCAAGGCGAGGATCTCGTCAGCTTGGAGGCTGCGGAGAAATCATGGTCTGACTCGTCGAAACTGGACCGTCGACGCTTCCGTCGTGTTGCCCGATGTCGGACTGCGGGGGTCAGTCAGCAGGGCCCCATTGGATTATGCCTTTTGATTTTTGTGGCAACCACCAAGCTCGTCATCGCGAAGCTTACATTGTACAACTCCATGTTGAAACACTGCAGCACCAACTCGCTGACGTCTCACGTCTTGTGTATTTTTGCGCATCACTTGTTCTCACACGGACCCATACCCATCAAAGACAAGTTGCTGTAGTCAATGTATGTACAAGAGAAATCGCCAGACATTTTGCCCTCTCCCCCATTCAATCAATGCCTGGAAGCTAGACCATGGCTCAGCAAACCGTCCAAGTCACGGTCAATTCATGTGTAAGAGAGCCGCTACAGCCGTCCAAATGCTTTCTGCATGCTTCTACTGCCCTGTCCTGAGAGTGGCATCTCAACCCTGGGGTTTGATTCTCGTCCCGGACACCTTTTCGTTGCTTTTCCCTGTCCTCTTCCGGCTTTATCCGTTTTTGTCACATCACGTGCGTCTTTTAGAAAAGATGTTGCATCCGGAGCTCTCTTTTCCCACACCGTCATTTGCGTCAAGTAAGCAACCTGATATGCGCCATTTCTTTCTTTGATTCTCCTTCATCCAAAACGCCTCGCATATCTATAAAGTAAAACAATGTTGGGTAGAGTTACGCGTCTTGTCGTCATTAGAGTGAGGCAAGTCGTTGTAGACAACTTAGGACACCTGGAGCAAGGAACACAGTTAGCAGCTGCAAACCACGGCTTGCAAAACCCCTTGTCAACTTACCGCTCACACCTTGTGATAATGTAGCCGCCGCCTCCGTGCTTCTATTACCAAGGCTGACTGTGACGACATTGTCGATTGTGCGTCGTTTGCCGAGTTTGTTGGCCCACTTGAACACCTTTTCATCCTCCCTGCCGTCGCCGACAACCATGAGAAAGTCGATTGGCTTCTTACCCTCGCCTTTGCCTTCCGAGCAAGCTTGGGTGGTAAGCAGCTTCTCAAATACCATGTGGGCAGCGGTGCTCTTAGTCCAGTCCAACGGTTCGACAGCAATCGTTCCATCCAGCACGATGGCGTGCACCCGCTGCGACTCGCAAGCATCGTTGACATGGCTAGCGCAGTCAGCAGCGAGACGGGCTGCAGCCTCCTGGTCTTCGGCGCCGTCATAGTGAAAGAGCACGCTGCAGTGGCGTTCCTCGACTTCTGCGCCTGGGGTTCGCTCCAGGTAGTATCGCAGAATATCCTTGACTGATGCCTTCCAGTTGTCGATATGCGCGCTGTCAGACATCTCAACCCACTTCTCAGAGCCGCAATCCTTGATGAAGCAACCATTCTCAGCAATGAGGCCAAGGCCAGGAACCCGTCGGAACACACGGTCAACTTCTTCCGGCCGGCGGCCAGACATTACGTAGACAATGTTCCGCTCGTCCAAAAGCAGGTCATTCAGCACATCAAGGGTCCGCTGTGGGCTGACGGGGATGATCTGGTTGACGGGACCCCAGCTGACGAGCGTCCCCTCGTAGTCAAGCATAAAAAGGCGACGGTTCGACGCCTCGTACCTCTTGCAGACGTCCTGAATGGAAAGCCGTGGCACAGATGTCTGAGCGCGTTTATGCTGTTCCTCGTAGGCCCGATCGAGGTGAGAAAGAAGTTCCGCAAACCAGTGAGAGCCAGTATGTTGAGCAACCGACTGGTGCAGATTCTCCCACCGGCGTGTCTTCTCGTCATCATCCATCTCAAGCGCTTGCTTGATGGCGTCAGCGCACTGGCGGTAGTCCCAGGGGTTGACGGACAGCTCGCTTTTGCTAAACAGAGATGAAGTACCCGTAAATTCGGAGAGAATCAGAGACCCGTGTTTGCGGTTTGGGTAGATCTTGCCGTCTTGGCAAAAGATGTACTCATGAGACGTCAAATTCATACCTTCGCGTTGACTTGTGATCATGAGCGCGTCGGCAATGGTAAGAAGCGCAAGGTACTGGGCGTAGTCGATATCCTGCTTGAGATACACCACAGGCTGGTAAGCCAGGTTGGCCCACGAAGAATTGACGCGAGTGACAATGTCCGAAACTGTGGCGTCCAAGTCGCTATTTTGACTGGAAGACAGGGCGACTTGGATTAGAACAGTATGCTCTCGCCACTGTGGGTTCTTATTCAAGAACAATTCGTAAGCCAGGAGCTTCTGGCGTACACCACGCACATGGTCCAGCTTGTCGCGAGCTACAATGAGCTTCTTGCCTTTGTATCTCTCTTGTAGAATATTCAGCCATCGTAACACGTCTCGCTCGCCACGATTCTTATCCAGACTTATTGGGTCAATTCCTATCGCAGTGTTGACAACATCGACAAACCGGTCTTCCATTTCGATACCTTCAGGGGTAGCTTCAACACTAAGTATTCTGCTGCAAGTCTGCAGAAAGTGTCGGGTGTATTCCTGGATCTGGAATCCAACGAGATTGGCTCCGAGCATGCCCTCTAGAAGCTCCTTGCGAACGGCGAGACAGCGGAACACTTCGGAGGATGGAAAGGCAACATGCAGAAAAAAGCCAATCTTGGCATCGGGAAGTTTCTTTCGTACCATGCCGGGGACCAGTAGCAAATGGTAGTCGTGTACCCAAATAACGTCGCCTCGCTTCCAGTTTTGCACAATCTTATCCGCGAAGGCTTGATTCACGTTGACATAGTACTTCCAAGAATGGTCCTCGTAAGCCTTGCTCTTGGGGTTGTCCGGGATCTGGTAGTGGAAGACTGGCCACAATATTTGCTTGCAAAAGTGGCTGTAATGCCCGTCAAAGTCTTTGTCAGAGCAGAATACAGTCATCATATCGTATTCGTTGGTCAGAGTATCCTCGATATCCAACTTTTGCTGCGTGCCCTCAAGGGCATCGGTAGGCATCCCCAATGTTCCTACCCAAGTGTAATCACCGAGTTTTCCATCCCGAGCTGCGGCTTCTGCAGCATTGCGCAGTCCGCCATTGCCCTGATCGGCATCCACGACCCTCCACGGGGCCGAGGAAAATACACGGTCGTGGCTGTCACTGCGCATATGTGTCTTGGGTTGTAGCAAGCCTCGACGACCAAGCTCACGAGCCTTCTCCAGGGTCCGGTCTCGCTCAAAGATTTCGGCTGGAGGGGGCGAGTTGGCTCGAGACAAGGGCTGGTTCGCGCGGGTTCCCCAGCGCGATGCCACTTCATCTGTAGGAGACCCAAGCTCGTGTGGAAACTGGATACGTAGGCCATCTTCGTTCGCGAAAGGGTCCGGCGACTCTGTCTCACCAGTAGGAGTGCGGGGGGGGGTGATGACTGGTCGCGGACTAAAGAGACTTGGCTGTGTCTCAATGACGGGCGCCGTGGGCAGTGGCGGCGGCGGGATTGTCGTCTTCGACCGGCGCTGCAGGGTGTTTCTTCGAGGAGGCGTGCCAGGCAGGTTGAATTGGATCGTTTTTGGGAGGAACAGCGAACAGACGAAGACGGTCATGGTTGGATAAGGTCCGGCGCCCAGGGGACGTCGCGCTTCTAATGTGGTCAAGGGCAAGGGACAGCCGCGAGAGGACTGTTGAATCGAGGAGGAGACTTGAACGGCGGTTCAGCCCCAGGTGGCGGGTAGCTATTTATTACCGGTGCATATGGAAAAGAGCTGCGCGACGTTGACAGGCGCAAAGGTGTGCGAAGAGAAGTTGAATTGCTGGCTGGAGCAGGAGGATGGAGATCGAAAAGCGTGCACGAAGACTCCACAAAGAGCTCGCTGAAAGCCTTGAAAATTTGTCGGGGTGGCCGCGAGATATGTTTCACAGCGCCAGATGCATCGAATCCTGGCTGTGTTCGGTTGCTTTTCCGTTCCCTTGGTCAGGACATGGAGCGAACAAGCGGATTGGAGGCAGTCAATCTGGATCTAGATCAAAGAGACCTGACCGAGGGACTTGACGCAGGCGGGGTTGCAGATTGGTGGCCGGAGTAGCAGAAACTGCGGGTACAGCTGTTGGAACAAAGCCGTTGATTGACAAGACTTGGCAGGTGCCACTGCCGAAAAGGGAGGAATGGTGTGTAGCGCTTGAACACCCAGGAGTGAAGGAGCACCTCACCTTGTAAGAGCTGGCTCCTGCTTAAGCTCCGGCGTCTGGCGTCTGGTGGCCGTGTTGGCCGGGTCAACTCCTCCGTCAACCTCAGAAGTTCGTCCGCTTTGCATGCAAAAGGTCACAGAACCTAACCAAGAATGCTTGCGAGGTCCGGTATATTCACCCCGGTGACGTAACAAGTTTTGCGATTCCGCCTGTGAGAGTCCCACTCGCGGCCAAAAACTGGATGTGAGTTACCTATGCCCCTGTCAGTGATGGATACTAGTATAATCTGCGTCAGGGAACTGACGCACACGACTGTCCTCAAGCTGGGCAACGGGAGCATTTGATCCGTTGGGAGCAGGACTTACGGGCAAGATATACTGCTCACAGCATGAGGGGCTCGCATTGCGATATCATGCCATCAACCGATTTATGGCTGAGCGAGAACAACCGGCCCAGTGCCAGCGAGCATCACCATCAGCCATGGACATCGAGCATCGAGCATCGAGGCCCTGGTGCCGGCCACCTCAAATCCCACCTCAGCTTCCAAACTTCAACTCCTGTCCCGATTCAATGCTCTCAGTGGGGCACACGGCGCCGCCACGGCGATAGGCTGACGACATGTCACACCAGGCCCGGACCAAGTCGGTCCATCTTGCACAAACTGTTTCTCAAAGGGGTTGTGAGAAAATTCGCCCCAGCATGGTTGGATTGGGACAACTCGTTGAACCGTTGCCAGAGATAGCTTTGCTTTTGGGATACCAGAAAAGGGCCTAGATTCTTCTCAGCGGTCGCATCTTGTTAGATGCTACCAAGCACGTTCTCTCACGTAACACAGGATCCTCGCTTACGCAAGACATCAGGCTCACAGATTAGGCTGTCATCCCAGCACTGACCAGCAGACTGAGCACAGGCCGAGCGAGGCGCTTTACAGTGGCTCTGAACAAGACGACATCTGGAGCCACGTCCGACCCCATGGTTTGGGTATTTTCAGCGTTTCCGGCACCCAGCCCGCGGGTGCTGCACAAACCGAAAATACTTCCCAGTTTCACACATCACGTAGTATCCCGCACTGGGACGGGAGGGCTATAGCGTGCAGGCGCGGAGTACTTTTACAAAGCATGTCACCAGATCAGTTGTCACACCCAAGCCAAAATCTCGCTCGTGGCGGCCATGCAAATCCAACCCATTGGCGCAGGTTCGGCGCCCAGCATTCAGAATTATGGATATCGTCGGCCATACGGAGAATATCATCACTTGATTCAAAGTTCAGTCGTGTTAGGCACAAGGGAGGACGGAAACCACAAACCTAGAAAATGCAACGTGCGAATCATCCACTCCCCGGCACTCAGCCGCCACGTTCATTCATGACGAGCCAATGGATGGCCCTGGTTCCATACCACTCCCACCCCCTTCGCCCTCGTCATCAAGCCCAGACAGCTCGGCAGAGTAAGAGACAGTTTGGGGAATCATGCCTGCACAACAGCTTCCCCATCTGTTTTCCAAAACTTCTCCCATGTGGCAAACTAGGTGGTTCTCATCGATTCTCACGCTCCACCTGGCCCAAGAAGCGCGACGTTCTCGAGGCGCCAACAAACAGCGTTGGCATACAGCTACAGCTCGCTATGACACCCACAACCTGCATCGCAGTTAGGCACCGGAACCTACTCCGGCCCACCTGTCTTCTGTTGGCCATATCGCCTTTTTGTCCTGCTGCCCAACCTGCTCCTACAACTATAGAGCTCTGGTCAATCAGGCGGTAGGTATTGTTGATCGAGACCCTCTCAGACCCAGGTACATATTGCCGAGAAACCTCGTCCAGATGGGCATGTGCCAGACCTGCTGCCACTACCCAAGATGCAACGCCGTCACCACGTCACCAATACAGGTCTGACAACTCGCTGGCGCGGGTTGCCATCCGGAGGTTGCTGTAGCTTAAAGCAAAGCCCCGCAAATATTAGAAGTTCTCAGTTTAGTGCGGTTGACTCACGGAGCATCCCGCTCCTCATTCTATTTCAGAGGCGCCCCGTGGAGTTTCGTATTCCTCGACGACGGGCCATTGGTACCGTGCTGTGGCGACGAATAGGAATGCCAGCAAGGTGCCAGTTGCGCTGGTCCAACACTTCAAATGACTGCTACGTTTTGAGTTGATGGCAACGTCTCCTTGGCGATGAATTTGCCCACTTGCATTGTTTGGTTTGCACTGTATTCCGCGGTATCCGATGCTCGCCACCACTTTGCAACTGTATATGCGGTTCCTGTCCCAATCACAACTCCACGCCATATTTTAGTTGGCATACACAGGTCAGGCAGGTATGCCTAGCCCCCTTTACACCTGGTTGGACAGAGCGTCATGTGCCAGAGCAGTCTAGCCCGGTTCAACGTGGTGTTGTCCGTCTTACAGAGGCTCTGACTAACTCGCAGTACTACCCTAAAGATTTCGAGCGTTACGCGCGGGTATCACAAACACCTCACGGTAGCTGGTGCAATTTTCTGAGAGACCCAAGCAAAGCAAGATGGCGCCTGAGGATTTCTTACTGAATGGCCCATTCGTCCATGAGAAATCGCAAAAATTCACAGAGCCACAGGCGATATCCCAGATGCACAGAACCTTGACCCCTTAAGTCTCGGAATGACGATCTCCGTTACGGTCCGGCTGCATCAAAAGATTGGCAAAGGGGAATGAGGAATCCAGCGGGTTGGTAAACGTTGCCGGCTCTGCCATCCTTCGAAGCTGGCCATGTTTAACTGGAGTCGACAACACCCCTTGGCGAAATGTAGCCTCAGTTGTAGGAGCTTCAACCGCCAGCTCGTTGAGAGACTACACACCTCGTCGCTCATCACAATGCCGGGCTAGCTTCTCTATGTTCTCAGCCGAGACAAATGTTCAGCCTCATTGTAACCTTCAACCTTTCAGCAGTTTCTCTTTTTAATACCTTGCATTGTAGTGAAGTTCGCCCGAGGGAGCAACTAGTCATTGACTGACGTTGGCAATCCGCATCGCTTGGCAAGCAGCATACACAAGTTGCATGATATCTGCTTGCATGAATGCAGACTATGGATTCCTTTGACTCAATTGTTTAACTTACTCGATTAAATAGACCCAAGATCCGCGTTTGCAATCCACCGTGCTTGGGTTGAATGGGACGGAATTGGCCTCGAGATTCCTTGGGAGCTCCAATCCTTGACTCCGTCGCAGTCATCGATATGTTATGAACGGTTGCAGCTACAACACGCACAAATTTGTTCGTTTGTTCTCATGCGAAATACCCAACTGGCCTTGCCGTCCTCGGGGCTTTCTCCCACACCCCGGCGCGTCGAACCATCCAATATGGCATTCATCAACGTGGTTAATCACTGGCGCTTCGTCCGTCACTGGTAAAGCCATCTTCCTTGAGGCCATCAAGACAGGCTCCAAGGTCATTGGAACGACAGGCGATGGTGCCAAAGCCGAAAGTTTGCAGCGCTCTAGTAGTTTACAAACTTTGGACTAGAGCATATCTGATAACAAGGCGTTTCTGTAGGGACTATAGTCAAACCTCACAAGCGTGAATGAGGAGCCACCAGATCAAAGAACATGGCTTTAGGGCTTGTGAAATAGAGATCAGACATGGCCCACAAGCCTTTTATCTCAGACTTTGTGAGGCCGGTTCAATCCTGATGAAATATGGTTGGGATCGTAGTGTTGGGTTCATATAGAGCCGCTTGGCGCTGGGTTAACCTAAAGGACCGACTAGGTTGGTCACTTGACAACGTGGAGCATGATTCTGCCCATTTAGCTTCACAAAAGAAACGTAATAGTGTAGCAGTCAATACTATTCGTCTAGTTAGTTGGCTCGTAGCTATGGTGATGGCTACATTCAGCCACATTGTCACTTGTACTTGATATATGAATGAACACTCACAAAATATTATATAAAACACTTCTTCTCCCTCCGGAATTTGGATGGAGCAAGTCGACAAAGAGAAAAAGCCTGTATTACACATTACATACTTTCGCGCATAGAGCATACTATTCTCGTAACATATCCTGGCAATCTATTTCAATGAGCCCCAGATGTTGTTCAAACTCTCTGCCAGGGATGGATGCGCCCAGACGGCATCTCTAAGTGCCGTCCACTTGCTGCCTGCAATCATGGCCATCTGCACTACGCTCATGACCTCGCCGCCCTCCAGCCCAAAGCACGTAAATCCCAGTATCTTCTGCGTATCGGCATCGACGACGGCCTTCATCATGCCTCTTGATTCATCCGTCTCCAAAGCTCGTGCGACATATGCCATGGGCATAGTTGCTACCTGGATCTTGGCATCGGGAAACTTGGCTCGCGCCTCGTGTTCATGCAGGCCGACATGAGCGAGCTGCGGGTCCGTGTAGACGACATAAGGCAAGATGCGATTGACGGTAGTGAGGGCCGTGGGATGAGAGTCCTTCTCGAGCAAATTGGCCCGCAGCAGACGATAGTCGTCATAGGAAACGTGCGTGAAGGCCGGCGGTCCCTTGACATCACCAAGTGCCCACACACGTCGGTTGGAGCTCTGCAGGGTGTCATCGACAACAATGTGGCCACGGTTGTTGGTTTTTATACCAGCTGCGTCGAGGTTGAGGGTGTCCGTGTTGGGAGTCCGGCCTGCGGCGAATAGGATATGGGATGCTGTCAACTCGGATGTGCCATCAGGGCCAGAGGCAGAGACAACAACAGCCTTGGTAGGGTCATTGCCGCCGCTGGCTCGAACGGCTGCCGGGGACGTTTTGAGAAGGATCCTGATGCCGTCTTGTTTGAGGACTTGACGCATCTTCTCAGCGACCTCGGCGTCTTCGCGCGGCAGAAGCTGGGAATTACGCTGAATGATGGTCACCTCGGCGCCTAGTCGCCGGAATAGCTGGCCAAACTCGAGACCAACATAGCCGCCTCCGACTACGATGAGATGCGACGGAACCACATCGAGTTCTTGAATAGAAGTCGAGTTGAGAAGAGCACCCGGGGGGAATTTCGCAGCATCGAGGCCGTCGAGCTTCGGGACCGCGGGCCGCTCACCAGCGCAGATGAAGATTTTATCAGCGGAAAGAATTTTGTCTGCACCGTCTTGGCAGATGACTTTTATAGTTGTTTCGTTTTGAAAGCTTGCAGAGCCCATGATGACGTCCACGCCGGCGTCGCGAAGCCGGCGTTCACTACCAGAGCGAAAGCTGTCAACGATGTCGCGCTTGCGCTGCCTCACCTTTTCCATGTTGATACGTGCGGAATCAGGGCGCGGACTCAGAACGCCGTAGTCGGGCCCTCGCCCAGTCAAATAGGCCACTCGGCCAGAGGCAATCATGGTCTTGGTTGGCGTGCAGCCTTCATTAACACAACAGCCGCCGATATGTGTACTCTCGATCAGTGCCGTCTTCTGCTTAGCTTGCGCGAATGCCATGCTAAGAGGCGTTCCGCCTTGGCCAGAGCCAATGACTACAGCGTCATAGTGCGTAGACATGCCGAATCGTCGTGAGATGGTGTAGTTGTATCCGTGACAGTGGACAAGACGTCGGGACAATCTGGATGGTTGCAGGTACAATGATCGTGGAACAGTGAGCATCAGTAATTGGACTATGGAACAGCTGAGACATTTGAATCAAACTTGATGGTGAAGGAAAGGTTAAATGAGGATGCAAGCGGGTGTTTATACCAAACCAATTTGTGGCTGTGCGGGGAAGCTTGGTGACGACAGAATAACGTTTTTGACTTTTCTCTCTCTAGTTTGACATGGCCTATCGCCAAGAGATGACTAGAATAGTGATCTGAGATAACAATCCGGGGCATGAAGGTGAAGAACATTGTGTCGTAATGAGTCCGGCACATTCGGCCCCGTGGAGTCCGCAGCGTCCGTGGCTGCTCCGTCTGGTCCATGCTAAAGGCGCCAAGATGGAAAATCATTGCAGTCAGAAAAAGAAAGTTCGTCAAGATTCAGGCTTAGGCAAGTTTTCCGAGTTCTCGACTCGCTGCGACCTCTTGATGGAGCTGTAAGTTGGATTCCCGGAGGTGGGTGTGGATAAATTGGATAGCCAGCAAGCAACTGACGAGTTGCAGTTTGAGTATTCGACGATTGTGTCGTAGCACTTGAGGTGATATTAGGTCTGCGAAGAAGCGCGGTTACGCTCGACACATATCGCAGCAGGATTGTACGCCTGAAAATGGCCTTGCTGCCGGAAGAATACCTTTATCGGTGATAGAAATAGAACTTCTTTAGTTATGCCTACTTGAAAAATAAAACTAGAAACCTCCAGCAGCTCCTCTCCCAATTGCATCAGTAGCTTGTGTCGAAATACGATCGTACAAGCACATGAACGTCAACATTACCATGCGCTCAAATTCCTCTCCCCAATACACATTCAGCTGAAGCACACCGCCCTTTGACAGTCCCTTCATCGGCGTGAAAACCGCCAGCACCTCATCTGACTCGTCATTAGACACGTCAACTAGCTGATATCCTGGTCGATTCAGCCCTGCCGATATCCCGTCGACGGCAACATCGACAGTCCCCTTCCATGCAACCTCCTTCATACCGCTAGTACAAGAGCTGGGAACGGTCCATGTGCCTTCTTTACGTCCTGTACGCTGCATGGCCCTCCATTCTTCCCGTTGCACCTTGTTTTCGGTATTTCCGAGGCTAACCTCAAATGTGGCCGAGTTCATTGGCCTGCGGACGCTACCCACGACAATCTTACCTTCAAACAGGAACATGAAAGGCATCTTGGAGTTTGTGCGTGGTTTGATGTCCATCGAGTAGTCAGTGCCGCCGCCGGTTGTTTCGGGAACGAACGTGTATGTTCCTGAGAGAAGCTTTTTGCGTAGTTTGAAACGCTTATGGCTGACTTCTGTCGACGTGTTCATGGTGCGACAGGCTTCTTTTAGGACTGGTTGATGAGGATAGTTTAAATGATGAAGTATTGAAGCCGTTTTCTACGATGCTGCCAAAAAGCAGCCTGCTTATATTGATGGCGAATAACTCAGGACAGCCTACGCTTGCGATTACATGATATGACGTCGCTGTGTTACAATTGTATCGGCGCTTCCCCGAGACAGCCTCGCCCTCCAAACAGTGACAACTTGACAAACTCCTCTGGTCAACAGGGCGACAGAGGCTATGCTGGGTAACTATTACCTCATCACTCATGAACGTGCAACTTGTGCTGGCGATTCTGCGGGACGCTGAATGTCCATTACTCATCCCATAGACGGGCATCGTCGCCTCTAGCAAGGATAAAACGTTGTGCCGTCCCAGACTGTAGTTATATCACTAAATTCGTGTCGTAAAATGGTCCAAGACACTACAGCCTGCAAGGTCTATCTTTGACAGGAAACACTGCTCAAGTCCGTCAAGCCATCATAACCTACTTTCAGGCAAGTGCTGGCGAGAATGAAGGATCGGACTTCGATTAACGTGAAACACAATTATTACCATGGTTGCATAACAAAAGCAAATACGACTATTGTATGTATCAAACTCAACGGGATGGTGAGGCGCTCTGGCCGTTGACTGGTTGCAAGCCCTACACAAGACTGATCAGCTACATTCGCTGCGACTGTGCAAGGCCAATAGGCTATCCGTGCGACCAAACCTTCAAAGGACAGAGCTGACACCTGCATTACCATTTCGTGAAATGATACGTCCATGTCTGCCATCGTACAAGATGCGTGGCAGCCAACTTTGGAGCTCCGCCACAAGCAGCAGCAGCCAGGGAAACGAACTCGAACCTGCCACTTTGGCCGATCAAATGCTTCGTGTTAAAGAATACAAGGAGCCATACGGAGTATCTATTGAAGTGATATGAATCCCGAACGGGCCGCTTCGCACTCAGCGCACACGCATGTCGAGACAAAACACAGAAGCGTTGTGAGCATTCCCCGTGTACCCGACAGAGTGGCATACATCTAAGCTTTTGCCAGCTTTAATCCTACACTGATGCCCCTCAAAATTCGTCATATCAACAAGCAACCTCTTTGTGATTCAATTTCTGCTTGATAAAGAACCACCATTAACGCATCCATGGGTCGCTGGTCGCATCTTGACCCCGATTACGAGCGTCTGCCGGAAGGAATCTCCCGTGTTGGCTACGACGCCGATACCGAGTCCTACACCTTCCAAGACAGGTCCGGCTCCTATTGGGAGAGCAGACCAGGCCGACGATATGGGCCCCTGAGGCGCGTTCACACATCACCAAGTGTCCAGACGGTGCCTGTCGGTGATGCACCACATGCCGCTCGAATCGATAAGATGTTGAAGGATGCACACGAATTTGATGTAGAAGAAGGAGTAGAAGACGAAGAAAGTGAGCTGTATCAAAGGACCAGGACGCCGAGAGGTGCAGTGAGAAGCACACGCCGACGTGGCACAAGAAACATATTCGCAACGTCACGGGTAGTTTTTCCAGACTCTCTGGGTACTTTCGAGGAACGCAGATTCAGCGTTGGAGCACTCAAGGTCTACGGAGGGAAACGTTTCCCGTTGCCCAGAGAAACACCAGCATGGCAGGTCATTCGCACGTGCTGGGTCGGGCTGTGACCTTTGACGAAATATTGGCGCGGCGTGCAGATATGGACTACTGTACTCATTGTGGCAAGATCAAAGGCCGCTGAGAAGCCCGTCGCAACTTTGTGGTATTCCGATACTGCGCCGAGCAAGTGGCGAGGAAATACTCTAGGCTTCGGGTCGCCGCGCCAGACTCGCCATGCCCTCTCCATTCCGAGATGTCAAGCTCACAAGCTCATGAGCAACAATCACTCTGTGGTCCAGGCATAGCAGAGTTGTAGCTTGTCATATTCCCCCGTCTCATCGAAGTTGAATCGTTTCACGAAGGAAAGTTGGTGTGATTCTTACGTCTTGTGATGAAGCACTCGACAGTTTGAGTTGGTATTTGTTGCCTCCTTTACCCTTTCTCGTGTTGGATTAGATGGCCAAAGTGAGCTGCTACTATTTGGAAGAGTCGGAATTGGAAAGTAGCATGCTATTGTCACAAGAGCTACAACATTGTTTGGCGACTGCTCAGTCTCAAGTCTATAATCATTTTATGCTATGCTAATATCTTGCTCTGGTCGCATCAATATGAGACCAATAATGCCAAGTCGATTCACGACTCATATTACCACAGTCAGTGTCCGTCCCCCTTCGCCAAGACAGCCAAGTCTATAACATCTATTTCGCAGAGTGAGAAGACTTTTCAACATACTTCCAATACCTCTTTGCACAATGCCGGCGAAGAGACTTGCCCTTCCAGATCATGAGCAGAAACGAACCAGTACATCCCAGCGATAAGAATCCAGCCATGATGAAACAGTTTTGAAGACCCATGTTGGTGTACCATGGAGTAATGCCATACGAGGTAGCAAAGCCCAGGGTATTGCGGATGATTATGACAGATGTTGTAGACTCTCCACTGATATCCTTGAAGCAGTCAACGTTGTATGAAAGGGCGATGGAACCGCCAGTTACACAACCAAAGGTCAGAATACCCAGTCCGATTGCCAATCCAGCCCAGTGCACATTGTGTTGAGCACCGACGCCCCAGATGATTAAACCAGCACATGAAAGAACAGCCGAAAGGGCAAGCGGCCAGAGCCTCTGCTCCGGCTCACGCACACCCTTGGTGCGGCGCGCCAACTTCAGAGTCAACCGGTCAGCGATTATTCCAGACCACAAGCCTCCGAAGGCGGCACCGATGATGGGACCGACGTAGATGAGGCCCACGCTGCTGGTGGACCAGTTGTATGGTGCTGCGCTGAGAACCGGGTTTGCCGTAGCATTCAGGACGTTGTACCAGGAGAGGTTGATCCCGTAGATGAATCCAGCCCAGGCGATATTCGGGAACTGGAAAATGATGGGCAGGGGCAAGATCATGGACAGGAACATTTGCTTCTTGGAGGGGCGTCCCTCCATTCTCGAAAACGGCTTGAGCTTTTGGCCGTACCGTCTTGGGCTGTAACTTTCCGACTTGTGGCTGGTTGATGAGGACGCGTTGGTCTCTTCGTCAGTGCTCTCGTCTTTGACGTCGTGCACCGAGTCGGCGACATCCTCGAGCCCTTCGAGCGTTTCACGAAAGTACATGGTCTCCTCCATGAAGAAGAAGAGAATAACAAACGCCAACGCGGCGATGATGGCACCAAAGTGCATAGTCCATCGCCAGCCGTACGCTTCGGCAAAGAATCCCGCCAGGATGGGCGCCAAGAAGTTGGACCCGAATAGAGTGAAGACGTACAGACTCATCCAAGTGCCTCTCTCGTGCGCGAAGAAGATGTCCGGGATGCTGACTTCGGGCAGTGCTTCAATCGGCGACGAGCAGAGGCCGAGGAGAATGCGGTGGGCGTACCATTCCCCGGCAGATCGAGAGTATGCCGTCCACACCATGAGAGGAACAATGGCCAGGAGAGACACGAGATACATGCCACGACGGCCGTATACCAGAGCAATCGGCTGGGTCACGAGGCAGCCCCATCCCATGAACAGGAACATGAGGCCTGTTCCTTGGACAAGAGCCGCCGTGGAGATGCCCGTGTCCTCTGTGATGTCTGACAGGACAGAGTACTGCAGACTCGTGGGTATGCCTATGCCAAGAGTATAGATGAGAACCATTGCCACCACCTTGTGCTTGCGCAGACGGCTCCAATTGAGCGGATCTTCGGGATCGGCACTTGGCTTGGGGACAAGCTCGACGATGCCAGCTTCTCCTGCTGCTGCGCCGCGAAGGTCAACGAGGTGAACGGTGCCGGGCACAACCTCGGAATGCGGAGTCGCTGATGCCATTGTCGACAGGTTGTCTGGGGTTTATACAGCAGAATCCAACGGCAGGAGAACAACTAGAGGAATTTTGGAATATATTTTCATGGGGCAAAGATGGCCGAGGCATCGACAAGTCCACTAATATGCAACCAGTCGGTGCCGCTCGACAATGTTGTAGCTGTTTGGCTTTATCTGGGGAGAAGGGATAGACATGTGAATATATATACATACATATATATACATATGGATTATCTCAAACTATAAACATTTATTCATACAAAACAGCGGTGAGGCCTCTGTTGGTACGGAACATGGAACCAATACGTATCGTGTTCCGAGCATGTCGAGATGTTTACCATGGCGGAACGCAAGGGGATTCAATGCAGTGACACGGACCTGTTATCACGGAGCATAGTTGACCTGGGGCTCCAGCAGTTTACCAATCAACAATACGTGGCTGATGATGTAGATTGCTAAAACGCCCCAGATCCTGCAACCCATGACTCAAGCTAGGCGGGCAAACAAAGAGTTGGCAATGGCGCTGTTCACGACGACGTGATAACAAGGATTCCCTGCATTGGCTGAAGTGCCGCAGGTCTGTTCTCCGGGTACTTCCGATACGACGAGTCCACGTGTACACGCACGTTGGATAAAGCGTACGAGGATACTTGATTGGAAACTATGTCTCGGGTATAGAGTCTGGTCGCACTAGCGCAGTTAAGCTAGTAACTTCACATGTGGTTTATAGTTGCATGTGAGCAGAAACACCCCAGCCCGCGCGGCTGATGATTCCAGGAAACCCCGGCGTTTGTATCACGGGAAACTAGGGAACTCGGGAGCTAGGGAGCGTGGCAACTCCGGCCCGCCTGCTCATCGACTGGAATGGCTCCAAACTTGTCTGTCTGGTATAGATGCGGGAACGCCAAAGTAACATCGAAGGTATTGGTTATGCCCGACCGAAGCCGACGTGGCAACTAGTCGAGAGAGGCCACGGCCCCCCTCGCTATTTGCGACCGCGATGAGTTCCGTTGCGAATTCTGCTGAGCATTGGAAGTCTCAGGCTGTGGCAAGATGGGGATTTTAAAGGCGCTCCGATTAATGTACAGATTGTCGCAAGGACGTTTCACTACAAAAAACTGTTTGGGGCACCGAGAAGAATTTCGGATACACTGGCCTAGAGAGTCCTGAAGTTGACATTGACGGCCATACGATGCTGAAAAGATGGGGTAAAACTTGACTTGACTAGCCACATGCAACTTTATTTCCCCGCCAGTGCATGTGTCAACAGGCACGGAATAGTCGCTTTCTGGCGACGGTTTATCCAAGTCTCACATCGGTTTCGACTTGACTCATAAACCATTCGTCTTGCTCCAGCATGAACCACCCAAGACGGCTATACGACCCATCAGAGTTTCTCTTGAGCATCAATCCATACCTGGGGATGAGTTGCAAGCAATAAACGTGGCTTACACCGACCCTTTCCTCCTGAACATCAAAGTGCCCCAGGGCAGTGACATTCCCAAGCAGCTCATCCTCGTGCAGTTCACCAGCGGGGGCTCCGGTTCCCACCAACAAGACGCTGTATTTGCCGGGTGCCAATGTTTTGACCGGCTTTTGAATCGCCTTTCTGAGGCTCGTATAGCGCAACCTGGGCGATTCCTCAAGCACGCGGGCGCCGACCACGCGTCCCACGAATCGTAATTCACACGCCGGCATGTGCAGCTTGTCCACTCCACACTCGGCATCCTCTGACCACTTCTCTGGATGAAGAAACACGGGTCGAATCTTCACGTTGGACCGGTCCCTGTACAGTGCCACCTTGGGAGGAACAAACGACTCCTGCGATACCTCCCCCTCCACAGAAACCCACGACCAGGACGGCGCGCGGGTAACAATCTGACAAGACCCCGTGAATGACGTCGGCTTCGGCCGCGTAGTTGGCTTCCAGTTCGGCGCGACGTGGTATGTAGGCCGCCACATCAACCCTCGCACGATGTCGCATTCCCAAACGCCAGCCAGATAGCGCGACCCGAGCACGGCGGCGGCCTGCTGCGCCATGGCCGACAGAGAGGCAAAGGCGTCGTGCGGGTTCGAAAGCCGGCACTTGGTATACGGAAACAGGAGCCCGTACCACTCTTTCAAGGCCTCGTGCGCTGCGTGCTGTTCGTTCCGAGACGGTGGCTGTATTGGTGCCGATCCCAACAACTTGGAACCGGCGTTGCCGGCCGTCTTGAAGCCGTCCTCGTACACGGATCCTGCTCTGCAGGAGAACCTGAGTTGTTCTAGGCCAAAGACGACGGCTCGTTGGCTGAGGAGCCTTTCTTGGAAACACCATGCTCTGGTCGAGGTCGGCCCAATGTCATGGGATCGCTGGAGACCAACCATGATTGTCGGAGTTTCTGACGCTTCGTGGGGTAATTTACAAAAGATCCTATTTTGGGCGGCATTGTTTGCTATGAAGCCGTGTTTCGAGTCTGATGACCGCCCGGCTATGACGGTGAGCGCGGCGTTTCCGTACACTACCGCCATGCGTTTCGATTCGCGCTCCCAGTCGGCCGCGTTGAATTGGATAATGCACAGAGCGTCGATCCAGACGTAGTTGATGCCGAGAGCGCGGGCGAGATGTATCATGTCCTTGTGCGACTGGGACAGCGTGGACTCGTCGATGCCCTGCACGAAGGAGGAGTACGTGGCATCGGTCAATTTGGGGACATTAGACGTGTTAGCACCCCAGCAGTACGACAGGGCGGCATAGGGCTCGGAAATGCCATGTTGAGCAGTGGCAATGAGCCTTGGCTGTGTGTTGTTGGCGGGATCGCCAACGTGGATTACTCTGGTGGGCATTTCGGATCCTCGTGTAAGTGAGCAGCGAGGGTGATGGGCGCGACATGTGGCCATCCATTCTTTTATTAGGGCGACGTGAAGCTCGGGGTTCTGATAGGACGTGCTTCTTCGCCCCCTGATATTGTACTTGGACCGAGTGCCTGGTTCCCTGGGCAAGTCAGTGAGCTTGCCGGTTGATATGTTGTCGTCGTCGACTGTGGCACGTACTCGTACACCTCCAGCACTGCTTCGATGTTCTCCGGATTCACCTCTGGCCAAAAGTCTGACTTGGGACCTCGCCTCCCGCAACTCACTGCAATGGTATCGCCAGAGGTTGGGTGGCCGAATTGGTTGCCGTTCAGCCATATCGCCGGCGTCCATTCCGATCCTTTGGGGAACGGAGATTCACCACGCAAAAGGCCATCCACGTGTTTGGCTGCATCCTTTTTGAATGCGGTCCAACATACAAAGCAAAACTCGCATCCCCTGTCTGCGCTGTCTTTCAAGGAGCGTAGATTAGGATGAAACAGCACGTCATTTTCCCGCAGCTCTTTGGCAGTGAGGGTCCTGCAGCGGTGGCAGTATGGCATGATGAAGGATTTCAATGCAAATTCTCGTCAACATGGCGGCGGGGTAAGAAAGCGGCTCAGCTGAGTCCCGAGTGATTTCCCGTTGGCCGGCTGCTTACCTGGGTCCTTATCACGTGTCTTGAATGATATCTAACGCGAATAGGACATTTGGATATTGCCCCGGCTTGATCTGCTTCATAGACGGGATCATCGTGGTGGCATGGGCGGACTCGGTGACGGCATCGGCTTCCTCGTCACTCTGCGGAGGACAGCGCTGCTTTGGTCATTTCGCCGCTGATATAAACTGCAGACAATTGATGAGCACCTGAAACGAATTAAAAGGCTATTTGAATGATGGATACGAATAAAATTGGGTCTATTTGGAAGCCAGCTTCAATGTCCTCCCGGGGAAAGGTCGAACTCATCAAAAGCAACCTGCAACAACCACCACTTGAAGACTATATGAGAGAGGCCTCAAACCTCTGAATGGCTGCTCAACCAAGGGTCAGCCCGGTGCCAGCGTGACTCATAGCTAGCCACTATCGCAAATATGCCATTTCAAGTTCAAGTCAAGTTGTGGCCGTGTATCAAGAAACATTTGCGACGAGGCGATACTGGCAATCATCTGCACTATACATTCAGAAATTTACACGCCGTCTAATGCCTCACGATCAGTATCGTACCCAACACCGATTCAAGCCTTGAGGTTCGTCTTTTCTCGATTCCAAAACGCACGCAACACAAAAAGCATAACCAGCATGCATACATCAAGAGCAATAGTCCAAGTATATCCAATCAAGTATCGCGGTGCATCAACCGTCTTCCACACGCTGCACGGAACAGTGAGCCAAAAACAACATCTCGTCCTGCCATCAGGGGAACAGACTTACAACAGCGGGAGCCACGCTCCAAAGGCGTTGCCTATCGTGTTCATGCTACTAATTACAATGGCGCGCTCTTCTGCATTAGAGGCGCAGATCTCATTGGCCCAAGCATAGATGACGGCTGCGATGCCATTAGCGGTTCCCGAGAGGAAGAATGCAAAAAACTTGAGGCCAGTGGGAACGTTCCATATGGCCAGGATGATGCTGGCAAAGATATTCAAGCCAGCCGTCGCTGCAATCAAGGACACCTTGGCGTCGTAAGCGTCCGACAAGATGCCGCAGATGATGGAAGAGACTATCGTCACGGCCGGCGACACCGTAGTAATGGTGTTGATTGCTTCCACGCTGTATCCTTCCTCCTTGAGCCACAGCGCAAGCCCGCTGTTGGAAGAGACACCATCTGCCTGAGAGAAGAAGAACGCAAAGGACACCAGGATCCAAAAGTGCCAGCCCACAAGCACTGACTTGACCACGGAAAACGTCAGTGGTCTACGAGGCTCGCGGTTCTCAGCCGCCATGCGCTCCTGAGCAACCTGGACTTGTCTCGGGGTGAGGAAATACGACTTGGGCTTGTCAGGCTGGCCAGGCAGCGTGAGGAAGCCCAGGACAGCCACGGGGATCGTGCAGGAGAAGCCTACGCCGGTTAGCGGTCGGGTCTGCTGGCCGCGTAGTCGCGCTCCCAGACTCACAGATGATGTAGAGCCATCTCCAGCCCTCGATGCCGTGCTTGAGGTTGAGAGACGCGTACGCTCCGCTTTGGATGTATCCCGAACTCATGCTGCCGACCTGGCTGGCAATGAAGAACAGCGCGCCTCGACGGCTGAGCTCGGAGCGCTTGTACCAGCATCCGAGATACCACTGCACGGCGGGGAAGAAGAGGCTGCCCGCGGCGCCGATGAAGAAGCGGATCACGTAGAGCTGCTGCACGTTGGTGACTCTGTACTGGGCCAGCGTCAGTATTCCCCAGATCAAGTCCGCCGCGGGGATGAAGTAGCTGGCCGAGAAGCGCGTCATCTGGTGATGGAGGCAGTTAGCTGGATGGCTTTGCTGCCATGGCCTTGTTGGTCTTGGTGTATACTGACGAGGAGGGTGAGGGGGATTTGCAACGTAATGAACCCGACCATGTACGTTGTGTTTAGGTAGTTGAGTTCGTTGCCGAAGAGCTTCAAATCCTCCTTCATGCCGCTGACATAGGCAGCGCTGGTGGCGGACTGGTCGAGGACTTTGGCCCAGTAGGCGAGAAAGACAAATATCATGATCAACGCATCCAGCTTAAGGATTAGGCGCCTTTCTTCTGGCGTGTCGCTGGGTGAGAACCATTGGTACCACTTCTGCCGCACTGGTAGACTGGCGACGCGTTGACTTTGCAAACTCACGGCATTCTTGCTAGTTGCGCCGTGGTCGTTGATGTGATGCAGCTTCAAGCCGCCGCCTTTCGGTGATGCTTGGCCCGCCTGTCGGTCTATTGAGTCTGACATGTCGAGCATTGTACTCGGATACAGGATGCGAATCGTCAGTCGAAAGAAAGCTACATATTTAGGGCAAGTCGAATCTCCAGGTTGAAGAGAAGATTGAAAGCTCAGGCGGGGTACCGAGTTCGGCCATCACGCAATTGCTTCTGTAAGCCGTTGTTAAATTAAAACTCCACACGTAACCATTGCCGTGGGACCTTTTCGCTCTTCATGCCAGGGATGTATCAATGAAGACTAAAACAAAATACCAACATGGCTTGCACTCCATGTGGTTTGGTCTTGGGGATGTCGTTGATGTGGCATTGGCCGTTCCTTGCGAGGGATTACAGTATAGCCCCATCTAGATTCAAGACGCGAGGCCGTGGAATCGAATCGTACGAATACGGCAATTTACAAGTATTTACGAGACGGTTTTGACAATAATCGAATCGTTGCTGCCACACAGACGGCATGGTTTGTTCCCAGCCAAGCTTTGTACTCGGGACCCGAAATGTCCCGATTAGGCAATTCAAAGTGAGACGGGCAGCAGTTGGCATTTTGTGGAGGAGGATGACAAGGAGAGCCAAGGTTGTGGCATTGTATTTTTCCTCGTCGCATATAAGGGACAGAAGGGTTATTGGCCATGGCACTCATTCGTGCTCACAAGGCGAGCGCAATGCTACAAGCTTTGCACGACAAGATCCGCATCCAGGAACTGAGGCGGCGACTTTTGAGTCTCCATGTAACGATGCAAATTCAGTCTTACAACTAGTTCACATCTTGTCCTACTTCTCCTCGGATATGTTGCATGGTAAGGAAATATGTCACAAGAGCTGTGCACAGGCGAGACGTCTTGAAGGCATCTCCCTCCATAACCCCCAGGTCACTGGAACAATGCGCTCAGCCCCTGTCACCAAGATGCATGTGGAGTATCGTTTTGAGATGTATGGAGATTCATAACCGTTATATGCAGAGTAAATGACGCCTAGCAGTCAAGGATGACGAAAAGCATCGCCTGCGGCTGGCTTACACGCCAATCCTCCGGTCTGTCTGCAATGTCTAACCAACATCTATGCGTGGTGATCCCGAGCGAACTGCATCGCCATGTCCACTTCCTGCACTAGGCCAGGCTTCGTTATGCAGCGAGTTGGCCCGAAACATAAATTGAGAAAAAAAAAGCCCTGCCCATTAACGTTGAGTTTACTTTGGCGCATGCCAGCCTCGACCCAGCCTTCATGTGTCTACTCATTCTTGGAGCCAAGCGAAAGCAAGTCTCTCAAGTTGGACCAAAACGGAGTCCTCACAGTCGACTTGAACGGCGTGATGGTCGTCTTGTCCAAGTCCCAAACTCCCGTCTTGTTAAAAGGATCCTCGCGCAGCAGCTTCCAAACATCCTCCAGAGTGTCCAGATTGAGAACCAAGATGCTTCCCACTATGTTCAGAGGATCGCCTGCTTTCTGAGGGTGGGCGCTTAGCATGGGCCCGGCGAAAATTAGTTGCCCTTGCTCACGGACTGGCTTGTAGTAGGCGATGTGGGTGGGCGTATTGTCGTATCGTGTTTGCAGGACACCAGGACGGTCCTGGATCATGATGAGCCATTCATTCTTGGTAATAGACATGTTGTTTACGGATGGTGAAAAAATTAATTCGCAAGGAGAAGATGTTCCTTGTTCGGAGCTCAGATGTGATGGGTTATTGAGACCAGACGCAATATAGTTGTCCGGTGTAAGGCGTCTAGGTGGGCACTTTTGTATAAATAGGCGGCGGGAATGTCTCTCGCGATTTGATACTGCATGCCAGCTATCTATGCAACAATCGCGATAGAGACCCCATCTCGTAAAAAAAAACTAAAAACTCCGGCATTACTCTCATCCAACCCACTCGTTCTCCTTGGTACCTATGTACTTTTCCTTTGAGCCGTCACGCCGCCATAGGGACAAGATTATCAATCAATCCGCTGACTGAGACTTGGAAAAACAACATTTTGCTGTTCGCCCGTCTTGCCAAACTACCAGCCATAAAAGCACAGGGTAGGGTCGAGTGGTCGAGCGCTCGGAATTTCCTGACAACCGCCCAAACCAGTGTTTGCCAGTGAACGAGCATACATAACTAGAATGGGTCCGAGTTATGGAGCAAAAGATGGCATATTACCCCTGTGACGGCCAATAGCGACTTGCATGGTGCGAGAAACATTCAGTTTCGCCGGGGCCCGAGTAACTCCAGATGGGCAGGGGTAGGAGCCACTGAGTGCCCAGTTACGCCAATATAAACAAGGTTTCTCCGTACGGATATTAATTAATCAATTCACTGAGACGTTGCCTGCTCTTGCTATCCATTGACACTGTATCACGATTCACGGCCATCTAGTCTTGTCTCTGCCCGTCCAGCCTTCACACGGGTCCGGGCCGCAGCACCGTTGTCAACCCTTGACCAAGACCCTGAAACCAACCTTGGAGATTCGTACCGTCAAGTACGTCAAGCCAGCAGCTATAGACATCAGTCCACAGTATAGCCACAAGGCGTGCCAGTTGAGCCAGTCGGAGGAGTGCAAGACTCTCCCTGCCGCTGGTGCTCCAGCAAGGTATCCCAGCCCGGCCAAACTGTAGCCCATGCCTATGCGCGTCCCAATGTTGCTCTTGTCCTGCGTCAAGCTGGCAAAGCACACGGGAGGCATGGCGATAAACACACCACTAAAGAACCCCAGCCAAATGGCAATCACGACGGCGCCCGCCAGGGAATGAACCGCCATCGTGCACAAAGACAAGAGTCCCGTGATAAGGGAACACGGGAAAATAACATTGAGCGGGCCAACATGGTCCGACGCGAAATTCGGAATGATGCGACCGAAGAAGGATGCCGCGTTCAGAATGGCGACAATGTAAAACGACATGTCATGAGACGCGAGCTTGTTGCTTTCCGTGAAGAAGGATATGTAAGAGTTGATGGTAGACAGACTCGACGAGGCAAAAAAGGTGCCAACCACAAAGATCAAGTATGGCACGTCGGTAAACGCAGACCGGTCAACGAAACCCCGGCGTTTCGGCGAAGGGGCCCGGATTCGCATGCCGACGACGGGCACGACCAGAACCCCCAGGGCAATGAAGCCCAAGACGCGCACCATCCAGCTGAAGCCGAGTTGCTCCAGCAGCTTGGACGCGACGACGGAGTAGACGACGGCGCCGATGGCAGACCCCGAGGAGGCGATGCCAATGGCCAGGCCCAGCTTGGACGTGAAATAGCCGGGCAGGATCGACACGGCGCAGACAAACAGGCAGCCCGCGCCGATGCCGATGCAGAACCCTTCGGCGAGCAAGACTTGGGCATACGTCTTGCAGAAACTGAGTGCTACGTGGCCGAGAACGACGCCAGAGCTCCCCAGCACAATGAGCAGGCGAAGATATCCCCGGTCGTAGACTGGCCCGGCCCAGAATCCCGTCATCATGGCCAGGCAGTACTGTATGGCGCCGATCCAGGAGATGTTCGACGAGGAAGCCGTGAAGATGTCCCCCGACTCGTAATGCGTCTGGAATACGCCAAATGTGCTGAGAATCCCCCACGAGTTGAAGAAGAGGGCGAAACTGCAGGCAACGTGAAACCAGGCTACCAGGCCTCCGTCTGGAGGCGGTCCCCTATTTTCTTGCGGTTTTTCGACCGCGTCGGACGGGGTTTCCTGTACATGATTGCTGTCTTCTGATACAGGTCGGGCATCAGCATCGAGCAGCGAGGACGGTTCCGGGCTGCGAGCCTCTGACTTGGTCATGGCTGGCGTCTGCATGGTGTCGGCCGAGGTGATGGAGGATCAAAACGCGACCCCAAGTACAAGTAGAAGTTGAGCAGGCCCATGCTGCCAACCCCTTTCATACGTATTGGCTCATTACATAATGGCAGCGGAAACGGGTTGCGTCCCGCGTTGTCCTCTGGGCGAGCCGAGACGGATTGATTAGATTGATAGAGGCCCAAGTCATCTCGCGTCCATGGCAAAGGCCGAGACACCGACGTCTCATCCACACAGCCCCGGCAGCACTATGCAGATGGCATGCCCATGCCGCGCAAGAATGCGGGAGGAGTTGCATCAGATGGGGCTGTCTGGTAACCCTGCCGAAATGAACGGGCGGAATCTCAAGTTGCAGAGTCTTGCTCCGGTGTGCCCACTTCATTTGGTGTCCTTGAGCAAGACAAAGTCCTCGGGGCCTCTTATTCTCCGAGGCTGTCCGGCCGTGTAGTCTCCTTGGCTCAGCAAGTTCATGCTGTGCTTGTAAGTGAGGTGGTCGAAATGGCCAATACTGAATCAAGCATTCGCAACGCACATCTGTTTTTTGGTTCGGGTAAACCCGCTGCCAAGGCGGAAAGATGGGCATAATGATGGAACACAATGGTCGGTGTAGTCGGTTGGAAGAGGTCGATACAGTCTCCGTTTAGTCTCTACTGCAAAGACAAAGGAAGTACACATATGATAATGTGAGCATCTGCACTATGATACTTGAATAAGAAAGATTTCTACTTCATACAATCTAGTGATCTAGTTGAAAATACAAACAAACTCAGAACGCAGCAGTGTATAGCCCCCTTCAACTATCGCCTCAAAAACCCAGCTTTCTGCCAATTGCTCACGTAGGATCCCAGCAATGCTTCAGTGACAGGCTCCAAACTCCTCAAAGTAACGGAATGCTCGCAGGCCTTGTCAGTCCCCAGCACCATGGCACCACACGACATGTGCACAAAATCCTGCTCAAAAAAGTCGGCAAGCATGGAGGCTGGGTTTTCCTCGTCAGGCCCGTTGCTTTGCTTGGCATTACTTCGCACCACGTGTATCCAATCCGCAAACGGAATGATCTTGTCGTCCGGGATATCGAGTGCCCTTGCCAGCATGCGAACCATCTCGGACCAGGACTGCCTCTTGGGGTTGTCGATGTGATACACAGGGTGAGCCTGCACATTGTCCGGCAGCGTCAAGATGTCCACCGCCGTTCCCGCCACCGCATCAACAGGAGCCCAGGCGAGATGGCCAGGGAGGTCGGGGAGAACGCCCAGCGTCTGCGAAGACTTGATGAGAAAAGGCACATGCTCCATGGAATTCCAGTAGCCCGAGCCGCTAGAGCCGGCAATCTGCCCCGGCCGGACAACCGTAACGCGGAAGCGCCCCGGGAACAAGTGCAGCGTCCGATCCAGCAGTTTCTCGCAGGTGTGTTTGGCGTCGCCGTATCCAATGGGTAGAACAGAGTCAATCGTCATGCGCTCCTCGGGAACCGTCGCCTCTCCTGACCATACGGGCCAGTGGCCGACGGCGGCGACCGACGAGACGAGTTGGAAAGAGACCTTTTCCGTCGACTCCTTGGCCAGTGACGCATCCCGAGCCAAGTAAATCATGTTTCTCATGATGCGCAGCTGCGGCTCGAATCGTTTGAGCGGCCACTTGGTATTCATCAGCCAGGCATTGTGAACGATGTGAGTGACCGACGCGGTCAAGCCGTGGTAATCAGCCTCCGAGAGACCCAAAAACTGTTTCGACAAGTCTGTCTCGAATACCCTCAACTTCTCCAGCGCTTCCCCGGGCAGGCTGAGACCCTTGTCAAGCATGCTCCGCGTTTGGCGCAGCACGGCGTCAACCTTGCTCCTCCTATTCAGACAAACAACTTCCCGTACATCCGGGCGCAAAGCCAAGTTGGCAACAATATGCGCACCCAGACTTCCCGTCCCACCCGTGACGAGAACGCACTTCCCATCCCCTCGTCTCGTCCTTGCACCTTGTCCTCCGCCCAGCGCGGCCCCAACACCAAGGGACTCGGCGAAGCCCCTGGAGAGGTCCTCGACGTATTCTTTAACGGCTGCTTCTCGAAACTCGCAGTCAGCTGAGGGGCTCTTGACACAGGGCGGAGGAGTTGGCAGTGATGCGCACCTAGTACTTCTCGAGGCCGAGGCGATGATGAGCCTCTCGAGCTTGTTTTCGGGTCGGCCGCCGTCGGTCCAGTCGACGACTCCGTACCCGACGGATTGCAGGTCTCGCTCCCACTGTCTCTCGTCTTGCACGACGTACTCGCGGCCGTCGTCAAACAGCCACCAGCCCTCAAAGAGCCCAAAGACAAGGTCCATCCACCACACGCGGCCCGTCATTTCAACCAAGAGGAGCATGCCGTCCTCTCGCAGTGCTTTGCGAATATTACCCGTCGACGTCTTCAGATTGGGCGTGGCATGGACCGCGTTGCTTGCGACGATTAGATGCTGTGTGCCGATCAAGTCTTGCGGAGGGGGGTTGCTAATGTCGTGTTGGCGGAACTTCATGAATGGGTAGTCCTTGAAGTTTTTGCGTGCCGCGGCTACAAACGAAGGAGCCAAGTCTGTGAAGGTATATTCTACCGGAATGTTGGCTTCCGCAAGGATCGGCAGGAGAAGCTTCGTGGTGCCTCCTGTTCCCGCGCCCATCTCGAGGATCTTGAGAGGGCCGCCATTCACGGCCTTCAACTCCTCTGCGAGACGGCGTACAAAGTCTTGAAGTTGGCGGTAGAGCAACTTGTGCAGCGGCCACTCGGCGTAGAATCGGGACACCAACTCGCGACCTTCGGTGCAGCCAAAGATGAGCTTGATGCCGTTTGTCTTTTCCCGCAGGACATCGGCCAGGCGGGAGCCCGCGTAGAATGTAAGCTTGTCAGCTACATGCTGATCAGGGAACTGGGATAGGAGGCGTTGGAAAATGTCCTGGCTGGATTGGACGGGGCATGGTGTACTTGTTCGAGTGATTCGGCCTCCGTCCACCGTAACAAGATTGCCTTCCTTCTCCAACATGGCGTACAAGGCATCGACTAACCGTGAATGCTCGGCCGGATGTGGAACTCGCGTGATGGAAGAACCGGCAGGCGCATTCCTGACACTGTATCCCAAGTCATCCAGTGCATCTAGCGTCAGCGATATACAGAGCTCCGTCTGGAGAGGTTCGGCGACTGTGGCGTAATTCTCCTGGCCATGCTCCACGATGCGGTCATCCGTCTTCTCCTTGACCGCGGTGAATGTCTGCATAACCAATTCATGCGAGAGCTTCAGATCGAAGGGGACTTCTGGTTCAGACAGAGCCGGGGTGCTGACTCCAGTCTGAAATCCGGAGCACTCAGAGTTACTTCGGTCACCGAATTCACTTGTGCTGCTGGATGCAATTTGCTCATGCCCTCCCTCCTCCCCGGCATCTGGTTCTACGGACTCTCCGAGGAGCTCCGCAACCACCTTGAGCAAGCCTGGAAAGTCGACAATTTCCATCAGAGTAGCCTCGGGGATGTTGATCTTGAAGGCAGAGTCTACCTCGTGAGCCAGCTCCATGCCCAACAAGGAGTCGATGCCGAGATCTGCCAGAGCACTGTCGGCTTGGATCTCGCCTTCTTCAACACCCGAAAGTTCAGAGATGATTTTTCTGAGCTGCGAGGCAATGCCTGAACTTGCAGATTTCTTGGCCGCCTTGGACGAGGTCACCGGTTCCTGGGTGCTGCTTACCGGTGCATGTCCATTCTCTAGACGAGCATTGTCAACGTTTGTCGCCGGGAAAGAACCCGACATTGTGGAAGACGGCTCCGTTCTAGCTGCCGCAGACAAAAGGCCCGGCGTTAATCTCGAGAGTACTTTGCTCATCGACGCCCTCGAAACCTTGACGTAGCTTATTCCAGTAATCACTTCGACCAGGTCGTTGGTCTTGGCATCAAATGCAAAAATATCCGACAGGATTGCCTTCTCCGACGGATAGTGATGTACAGCGAGCACATTCAGAGCCGCAGGACGCCCAGGCTTGTCCTTGTTACCAGACTGGCGCGGGTTGCGGAACCAGTGTTCCATGCCGTTGCACACATACATGTCGGCCGAGCTGCAGTCCGTCATGCAGTTTGCCCATATACCCGCGACTTGGCACAGGCAGTCGGCCAGATGAGCGTCCAGCCATGTCGTTGCGTCGTGTTGCCGAACGACGTGTGCGGCAGACTGGTTGCCACGACTCACGAGCTTTTGCACGCCGCGATAGTCGTCGGTGTAGTTGACAATCTCGGCGAAGATCTTGTAAATGCTGCGGTTGAGAAGCACCTCCTCGACGTCTCCGCTGTTGAGCAGCTCGAGACACTGTCGGCTGCCGACGAGGCGCTGGAGTCGCGAAAACTCCAGCTCGGCGGATGAGTCGTCGGCTGGGACGAATCGAAGCGTGCCCGTCGTGTGAACCGACAAGCCCTTGTCCGTCTTTGACGATGCCTCGGTGCTCACGATGCTAAACTTCCAGAGGGAGCGAGTGTCGCCTGCACTCTCCTTGAAGTCAATCCACAGCGTGCGGCTGGCGTCGACGCACACGGGCAATTGGCATTGGACGTTGTGAAGCTGTGGTTGTAAGTGCTCGGATGCCAGCTCCTGATTCAGGCTGCGAATAGCCTCGATGACAAAATCGAGCTGTACAGTGGCCGGACAAATGGCTGCCGTCTCTGCAAAGACATGGCCCGATACCAGTCTCTCATATTGCTTCGAGGAGGTGTTGATACGGAATCGTCCTTCTTGTTTCTTGCTGTCTGTGTAGCCAGCAAACTGGAAGAGGCTGCTCTCATTTTCGTCGGGCTTGTTGTTCTGGGGAACTTCCAAGATGGCCTTTTGGGGGGCTTTCAGCTCCATCCAGTGCTTTGCTTGCTCAAACTGGTAGGGCGGTAGGAGAAGAGGCTCGTGAGAGAGAACATCAGATCCGTGGTGAGACCAGAAAGACATGGTAAGGCCCTCCTTCCAGAGGCTCAACGTTGAGTCAACAAGATTGTTCCATGCTGTACCTGG